TATCTTTCTCGTCTTTGTCCCTCCCTCTTGCTGCTGCTGCTTCTCCTCTTCCTCCTCTTCCTCCTCTTCCTCCTCTTCTTCTTCCTCTTTCTCTTTCTCTTTTGTCGAAAGCATGAAACATGTATCACGATTTCCAATAACAGAATAGAGATACATCGCGATACTCTGACAAGATAATCACGTGCACATGAAAATGTAGCAGGCAAACTTTGTTGTCACGTCGTAGATGAAACACTCCACGCCACGCCGTAACGGACGACGAGCGCTCGGTCTTTTCAATCGATTGAATTTATTTTTATGTCCGTGTCGTCGGTATCTATCGTCGGCGGGCCGGATACCGTGATCTTTTCTTTCAAGTATTGATAATTTTTTAGCCTAGAAACCGCGTAATCCTGCAACAAAGAGGAGACAGACAGACAGACGCGCACGCGTGCTTACCCAATATCCAAATGGAATTTCGGAGAGTTTAGCGTTGACAATACTCCACAAACCCCAAAATAAGTGACTGGCCAAAGAGAATATCTTGATCTCCGTCATGACGCGTTATTGCCAACTGTCTTCAAGTAATTTCTTATGAAGTTGAGCTGCCGAAGAAAGCAAGTAGTTAAAATAAACAAAATGATTGCGAATGAATACTAATTAAACGATACGTGAAAAGGTAAGTGGTATACGCTTACGTGTACACACGTACGCACACAGGTACACACACAGAAGGTGTTCAGATGATAGCCCGAAGAAAATCGGGCAAACGCCTAACGCTCGTAACCGGATACGTGCGAGGTATATGTATGTATGTACGTATATACATGCAAGTACGTACACTTGTTTACGAAACATTTAATAAATTCGAAAAGAAGATATTCTGAAAAAGGAATGTATCGAAAGAACGCGGAAGAGGTGCGTAGTTAACTTTTAATGGATCGAAAAACCGTGTCAATTGTACAATCGGAATGAATACGCGTCCGTTGGGATAATCTAATAAGGAAAGTGAGCGGGCATTTAAATGCGACGAATGAAGTGTCTTAATTGGAAATAACGCGATTTTACCACCCATAAGACACTGTACATTTATCGGGCAATGTAGATTATGGATCGACTATCGAGAGTGCGTGTAGAGGTACTCTAGAGTCGTAGATGCGCAGGTACGGGACTGATGTTGCAAAGGTGGGTGGTGGTGGTGGTGGCACCGGTCGTTCTGGTTCCACAACGTACGATGCGAGAAGGATCCATCATCGCATAGGCAGATTGATATGCCTCCCACTATTCCGATTAGCCGATCGCAGGCATCAGCCTTGTCTCACTGAATCGTGGTCCTGTGAAACTAATATATACACACGCAGCACACGCCAACCAGTCCTCGATCAGCACTCGATAACTCTCGAATTCGCTCGACCGAGTCTACGTACAGCTACGTACATATGTATGTATATTCTTCTTAACGCGGACAATTTTACGATTTACGCAAAAGGGACGGAATTTAGATAACAAATGGGAGAGGTGGGCAGGGACTAGGAAAATGTATTTTATTATGTCGAGAATGAGAAGAAACAGGTAAAGGACAATGTCAAGTTTTTGCAAACAATATACGGATTTACGAGCGTGCAGCGATTTCTCTGGACGCATATATTGAAAAGCTATCGTTCGTGTAACGGCGACCCAAATGTAGCTCGTTGTATATATGACATATGACATATGACATATGACATATGACATATGACATATGACATATGACATAGAATACTGCTCCCAAATTGCTGATCAAGCGATCGTTGAACAAACTAACAAACCAATAGAATCACTGAGAACATGCAATAATTTGAAAAGCGCTGTCAAAAGTGAAAGTGTTACGATATAATTGTAGCAGTACAATCGCAACTGCTGGGAGATGGGGAGGACAAGGAGAACCTCTAACCTTTTTGAAAAACCTCTTTGCAAAGGCAGATTAAAAACATCATCTTTTAATTCTACTCGAGAAAACGAAATGTTATATCTGTAGACAGAAATCGCTGCAAGCTTTTTAATCCCCTACAAGACATCGTCGTTCCTCTATGTCAGTCTATGTTATATGCGAGTTCCTACTAGACGCACGTGAAATGCACCGAATTTAAATTAACGACAATACTTGAATATATTTTATGATTCGTTTTTTTTCTTTTACCGGGATCTTTTTACTGGAACAATTCGAGTAGAATCATTTAATTAATTTTTCAACGCCTAAAGTGAACATATGTTTCTAATTAAACGTTACCGTGCGTTTCGTTTAACCTTTGCACATTTTCTATTCCGAGCAAATGATGTCGTTTGATGCAAATGTGATAAAAGATACTGGCATATTTATCGTACGATCGCGTTACACACGCACACGCACACACACACACGCACACACACACACACACACACAAAAGTAGTAGGTACTTCCATTAGCAATCGAATTGATTGTCGTCTACAAGGGCATGAATCGATACAAAAGAAGATATATACTCATGTATGCATACGTATGCACGTACGTTCGCACGTACGTTCGCACGGCACGCACCTGCATCCGTATGTATACCTATACATACGCATCTCGGAAAATAGTAAAACGCGACACGTCTTACCCGTCTTGAAATTTCTAGAAATTTTTCGAGAATCAGAGTTGGTAATCACCGACACATACCTTCTGCTCTTTCGTAGGCCCTGATCCTGTGCGCTCATGAAAGAAAGGATATTCTGCTGCCGTGTAATCGTATTGCCACTCGACGAAATGATTCGCTATATCGAATCCTCGGTAGTTGTACGAACAGTATTCAAAGTCGATAAGGACCAGTTCCGGTTTTCGCGTGTTTTGTTTCAACAATATGTTACCTTCCTGCATGTCGTTGTGGCAAAAGACAACTGGATATTTCCGTTGCGTCGCGAGTGATCTGAAAATACACACGTGCTTTTGTTACATATCGCACGCGATGTTGACGCGATACAGGCGCGGTGGGGATTCGTTTAAATGGTTAATCCCATTTTTATCGGAGATTCACGTGTGAACCAAACGAAACGGAATCGCTATTCTATCGTTCGGTTTTTTTGATTGTTCGTGCGCTCCTCCTCCTTACCTGAACCAATTGATCTCGTGATCCAGGTCGATCGTTCGTATCGCATCGACATTATTCGTGTGTCGGGCATCGATATCTTCGAGGTTCTCCAAAATATCGGTGGCTGTGTCCAACCATTTGGCCATGGTGTCCCAAAGCCAGGTTGGTTCTTTACTTATTGGGACCTGCATAGTGTGAATCTGACCCATTTTTTCAGCGATCATGGAACTCAACATCGGATCTGCCAATTCTTTGGTTAGCAACGGCCTGGCGGGTATATATTCCTCTATACGACCACCGGGAAATATGCCGTGCAATTTCGGTCCGAGCTGTCTTTCCGACAACAACGTGAAAATGACCGATTCGGTGATCAGCCCCTCCAGTGCTCTTTCCCCGTGTACTTGTCCGTACAATCGCAACAGAACTTGCCGCGGCTCCCCGCGAATCGGAACGGCTCCGTTCGGTAACTGAACGTTGTACAACCAATTACTCAGTCCGCCGCTGCAAAATCGAATTCAATTGCACACCATTTGTCTTGCTCGTGCAACATCGTCAGCGGTTAGCGCACGCCGCCTACATTTTCAACGCAACCACAATTTGCAAGCTGCGCTGCAAAAGACACCACTACTACATTGACTAACCTGATACGTTTCAGCGCGATGTTCTCCGCGGTAACATGTTTCCAAACTCCATGAAGGTAATCACGACATATACGTGCTGCCATTTCCCGCATCTCTGGATTCTCCTCGGACATCTAACATACACAACAAAAAACACACACAATACCACACGATTATAGTCGATTGAAAAGAGTAATTTTTATTTATTTACTTTATAGATTACAATCGATGGTACAATAATTTTGCGAGAACGACGGAAGACATTAACGTGATTTTGATTAGCGAATCAGAAGCATGAATGTTAAAGTGCATAATCGTATTCTTCGTTGAATCAGCTACGCTTCGTAGATAGCTACTCGCGGAAACGGTGTTTTTGCTACTCGCGTAATGTTGTACTTTTACTAAAATATCAATACTATGAAATTTCGAAAACTTGACGATTCAGAAAATGGTTTAGTTATTCTTGTTCGAGTCGAGCGTTCGATGACAGAATTAAAGAATAAGTGGACAACCGACCGCGGAACTGTCACCCCCTCTGTATAAGAGGCCAGGTCGGTATAATGGTCACTCGCAAAACTATTCCTACGCCTAACAATCCCTTAATCATTTGTACAAAGACGTGTCGTCACATTGTGTGAGGATAAAAATCAAACTCTGCGTCAATTCTGCGGAGACTCTATCGTTCGTATACAGTACTTATGTAGTGCCCCCACTTGCGACGCGGCGCGGCGGCTCGTTCTTACATACATACGTACGTACGTACATACATACGTACATACATACATACATGCATACATACATACATACATACATGCATGCATACATACATACATACATACATACATACATACATATATACATACATACATACATACATACATACATACATACATACATACATACATAAATACATACATACATACATAAATACATACATACGGAGGTACGTAGAACGATAGCATAGTGGTAGCCAGCAGTGCCGTTGTCGCAAGAAGATGAAAGAAAAATCAAGTAAAGTAATTACAAATCCGAGTTTCCCTCAACCGATCGATACTCGATGGCTGTCGCAAACGTGTGGACAGATGTTACATTCGTTGGTGGTTTCGGTTAGCCGCAGCCGTGTAGGCGGATGAATGCGAACGGAGAACACGTTCACGCTCGCACTCACGCTCTTCACTCTTGTCCCTTCGAGACCTTTTCCCTTTCCGCCGTTTAGTAAGTATAGAAATACATTACGATACGTTCTTGAAAAATTGATCACGATGCACGTTACATTTCACGTATATACGATTCGATGCTAGTGTAAAAATGTAATACACGAAAGAAAGACGACGACGGACAACCGGGACGCGACACGCAAACGCTCGGTCTTTCGCGGTGCAAGCGGCAAAACGCGTATCCAACGAACATGCTGCATAGTTGCCTGTACTTCTGGTCTAAGCCCACACTGGGTTCGGTTAGACTTGCGCGAAAATAACGATCGATATTTTCTCCTGCCCCTATTGCGATTGTCCCTCGACTGCTCCACGTCTCCCGCGACAGTTTCTCCTACATTCGTACGTATATATACACGTATTGCTTATACATACATATGTATGTATAGGTAGTATAAGTACATACCAACGAATCGACGCTGTTTCGATCGTCCGAACACGTTTTCTTAAAGTTCTTTTTTTCTTTTCTCGATTCGTTACGGTTGCACGATCTTACGAAACACGCACCTGCGTTCGCGACACCAGATTTGTAAACACGAGAGAACACTTAAACACCTAACAATCAATTTTTCGTCCCATCATTTACGACAACGACGAATTTTCACTTTCATTTTGTATCGTTTATCGTACAAACGATACACTCTTAAATGCATACGTATTTATCGGATTCCCAACTTTTATAACCTTCCCGCTTCGTGTTTACGCGATACGCGATGTATCACGGTCATTGTTGCACCGCTGGCCTCGTGACAAAGATTGTAAAGTGAGGTGACGGCAGCACGCGCGTGCGCTCCTTCGCTCCCCAACGCACGAGTTCTACAGAACGTCCTACGTAGAATCGGTCCCACTCATTGGTTAAGTACAAAACCTATGTACATATTTCAGAAAAACTTTACATATGTTAGAAAATAACGTTTGGCAAACGACACTCTTTTAAAACTAAATTTTATGCATAACGCATTAGAAATGATGTTGAAAACTATCCCCCTCCCTGTACCTCTATGCATTTTTTTTTTTCTTATGTGAAATCACATTCAAGCTGACCTTCCGGAACACATAACAATTAATGGATGTAATTTCGAAAAGGTCCAACCTCCGATTTTCATGAAACTTTGTAAAATCCTTCCAAATATTCCCAAATGAACATATGTGAAGGTTTTTTTTGCCGCAATAGAAAAGTAACTGAGATAACACTAAAATAATATGTAAACATATTTTTATACACTAAACGCACGAAGAGTACGTAGCACCGAGAAAGACCTACTTACTTTCATTGCCAGTCCTGCTTCCATGGCCATCCGTGTGCAAACCCACTTTTCGGGTTTTTCTTTCTCAATTTGTCTACAGTCTACAACATCAAGACCGCGAGGACACCATTTGACATAAATCAGCTGCCCGCGTGTGCGTTACGGGTTCACCCTACGCCAGGACAGGCCCTGCTTACTTTGCAGCTCGAGTGGTGACATACATATTATACACATAACACCGTCTCGTGGTAGTGCAATCATTTTTTTCGAAAAGTAACCCGAACTACTTGCTGTACATATGTGTACCCCGCCCAGATAATGCGATACAAAACACGCTTTGGCGGGATACAGGGGCGCGAGACTTCGCGTAAACTGAGAAAGAATAATTTTACACCATTATTTTAGCGTTATCTCGGAATCGGTTAATTTTCAAATGCGTCAAAAAACCATTCTACATATCTTCATTTGGAAATATTTCGGACAATTTTTACGGAGTTTCATGAAAATTGGAAGGTGGACCTTTTCGGAACTGTAGTCAAATAATTGTTTCAGGCTGGCCGGTTTTACATGGGACGCTCTGTATTTTCGATTTCGTGGTAAAAAAAGCGAAACGTTTTCTACATTAGGTATGTATATTCCGATCTTGATTATATAACATTCCAATGATGCGTGGTCATGCATGCATGCATGCGTGCATACATACATACGTACACACATACATATACGTAGATTAATCACTTAATTCGCGTTCCCCTTATGCAGTGACACAAATTCGATACACTAATCTAAACCCTAATATTTTCAACGTGTAAATATCAATGCCCAAAACCTTAACCAAAGATAAGAATTTAGTGAACACATTTCGTGAACAGGCCTTTACACATACATAATAAGTTTTAGTTCACGTCAGGTGTGCTATCGATAGCCCACCGGATACTGAACGTCTCAACAAGACAATTAAGTACGCCTCTCAAAGAGTATGCATGCCCAGAACGTATAAACTCTGAACTCTGGACATTTGGAAAGGTCTGGTTAAACTTTCGATCCGTTTGGCGAACAGTGCAAACACGTAGTCCCAATCGCGGATCACACATTGAAACGTACGATGATTCGATGATTATCCGTATATTTTCTCCGTTGAATTTTGGAAAATTTTCTTACAATTACCCGGTCGTGATTACATAATCTTTAGACGATCCTGTTGAGCACTTAAGCTCCGAGATAAATGTAATTATCATTCGTTCGGAACAAAGTGACGCCCATAATACGCTATAATTGCGCTGGCTTTAGTTTTGCGCGCGAAATTCTGTACTATTGAATGTCTGCCTCGATCGTTAGACAACAAAATGTTACAAGATAAATCGAAACCGTTGCGACTTGCGACCAATCAGTTTATCATAGTATCAACAATATAATAACGATTGAACGTTACTGAAGGAAATTCCACGTATTTTCGCCTCGTGTTAACTTGTCATTTTAATATCTAGTGTTCGAGCAAACCATCCTAATACGAGAAACAAATTCGATCCATAATGGACTCACTTATCCCGTCTATACCGTTTCAAGCAAGATAATGTGAAACCAGTTTCAGATATAACATTTCGCGATACAATTATTCCTTCGTCGTCACAAACAGAAGATCTGCTAAATTTCGGAACATGAAACGTATGCGAAACGTTATATGAAAACAAAGATTTGTAAACTGACGAATGGACCAACGATGCCAGATACAACGATGACGACATATCCCTAACAAATCGAAATTGCTAGTCGCATCTATTATATCATACAATCTGTTCCACAGACGACAACAATACGATACGGCGAGTCTCAGATAAGATGGTTGTACGATGGCTTGGAAAATTTGCCCCTTTAATACGGTGGCGTGACAAACTAAAGATTCGAAATCGAAGACGATAAAAATCTGACCGCTGGCGCTCCAAGAAATTTCATTGAGGGTAACTCAGTTCTACACCTTCTTTGTAAGCAAAAATTTAATGTCTTAGATAAATTCAAATTCTCTTGTCTATCAAATATTCTACACAACGTATGTACGTTTTTTACACTATTAAACAAATAGTCAGAATATTCACTGAAAACATTTGCATCTATGTACGTATTTATGTACATACTATGTAGGTATTGCGCGTAAATAATATGATCTAATCAGTTACATTAACCATGTAACGCCCAGATCTTTAAATCGTTATTTCAAAATGATGAGACTGATATGCATATTGTATCTTGTTCTTTTTAAGTCGAAAATTTCAATTTCGTCCAAACAGACCTATTTGTTTTATTCTTTTCCTGTTTTATTAATTTTTCGAGAAAATATGTACTTGAATTGCTTCATTGAAAACGTAGAGGTCTACTTCACATCAGTGAAACTACGTATCCTTGCTGAGAAAAGTTACAAAAACGCCATGGAAATGATAAATTTGTTTATTGACATAAACAAAGTTAGTTGACTCGGCCATATATTGTACTCCAACCCGTAATCGAAAAAAATAATTCCAGAGATGTGTATAGCTATGTACATACATATATCTAATCAAAATTACTGGCATCGGCATACTTAGTTTCAGATGTTTTCCTTGTACAAGGTGAGCGTATTCCAATAAACGTTATACATAAGCAACACTTAAAAATGGAAACAAATAAATTAGGTATAACTATGCAAACCGTTCGTTCGTTGTGCTTTTATACAACTACATTTTAAATAATTTTGCATCGCCGACATAATTGAAGTATGTAGTGTGACGCGTACGCATTGTATATATATGCATATGTATATGATATGTATATGATTATGTATATTTACATGTATATGTATATGTACATGAAAGCTTATCGAATAAATCGCGGCGTAAAAATTGCAGCGATATCTCACAAAGAATGAGAGAAGACGAAAAATATAATGTTACTTTTTCACTGGAAGAAAAAATTATAATATGACAGAGCGACTAAATATACACACCTTGTTCCTCAAGCCCATTTTAGCGTTTAAAAGTAGCTAGAAATCTTCAGCGTCTCTACAGATACTGCACAGCTCTTGCTCTCTCTCTTTCTCTCTCTCTCTCTCTCTCTCTCTCTATATACCTTTACGTAACGAGAACGAGGTTAGAATCGTTACACACGATAGTATGTACGAGCAGCTTCAAATAAGAAGATTTTCTGGGTCTCTAAGACGCGAAGTTATTGTATCGGAGCAAATTCACTGGTAATTTAAGAACAAAATTTCTCCAACTATGATGATTCAATTACGGTTATTTATCGTAACGGATAAAAAAATCTTTTTTTCTTCGACCTCTCCAATTTTATGGAAAGTACAACTATCACTACTGTTAAAGAAATAAACTGTCCTTAGAATTCACCACTAGAAGCACAAAAAAAAAAAAATTTTTACGTTTGTGCTTTATTCGCGAATGTTTTTTATACAGTTTTAAATGCGAAATCGCTGGAACACAAGCACGGATGAAAAATACTGACTGCGGATACGTACACAGTCCTTGTTCATGCACAAATTGACACAAATATGCGAAGCAACCTACGCTACGAAAAGATATACGATATACGATACATTACGAGCGTTAACCAATCAACGTTCAGATTCTTTCCTACTCTTTGGACATCGTGCAGTGACAACAGCGCCGCTAGCGTACACTTGAACATTCTCCTTGATACTTACCTACATAGCCTAGCGCGCAAGCACCTGTTTACCGTGTGCGCACGCACTCGCGCGTGCGCGCAAACTTGCATGTCGCAGTCACGCAATGAAAAGACCAATGAATTTATTTGCCATTGAATTGCGCAACTTTGCGAACGGTTTTGAAAAACAGATGTGTCGTTCAAGCAACGATTTTCTATTTAATACAGTAGCTGTCCCTGTTTTCGAATTCTTCTCTCAACGTGCACCTACTACATTCCGTACTAGAAGACCTCTTATTACGAAGTACATACAAGTGTTTTTTTTTCCGTTAACGCGGAGACAGTAACTGCAGTAACGTATGATCGGTGAGTTTGCGCGTGTAATATGTACGTAGAATGACGCATCAAGAGAAAGTGTGACACATACATACATATGCTTGAGAAACTGATCAGTGTTGTCAGCAAGTTCTCGATTTTCAAAATTATACGATACAGGACACGGTCTTTAACGTTGAATTGATTCAGCTAAAAAGAAATGCCCGAATAACCACAAGACTGTTTGTAACGAGTAATAAAAATACATCCCGGATTATTCCATTCAACAAGCAATAATGTTCTTCAAGTGTTTATGCAACATGCAGGTAAATTCATTCGACTTTTCTCCACAAAGAAACTTTTTCCTTGAGCAATTTTACGATCGTGTAGATAGAGAGGAAATTCCTGCGTGGAGATATCGTGACCATGATGTGATCGGTATTTCGCGTAATGGATAAGAAAGATTAGATAAGATTTCTTTTTTTCAAAAATATAGATTACACTATACATATGTATAGAAATGACGTCAGACGATACATGGATTTCAACGAATTTACATTTCTGGAATTCGAAGAATAACGCCTCTTGATTGTATAATAATTTTCTCATAAAACATACATTTTCCGTGAACCGTCAAAATCCGCAAGAAAGATAGAAACATGAACTTATCATCGTCTATCCTTTCTAATGATTGGATAATTCAATAGAAAAAGAAACACTTGTATTTGAATACACTAACGCGTGCGCGCGTGTGTGTATGTCATATCAGGGAGATCCAGAAGTCACACACAATTTTTATAGCAAATGATTTAAAATAAGTTCTCATCTAATAGCAGCATACTGATACATCAAGCATCATAGCACAGCGACAAAATAATTCTGCGGGTCGTGTGACTTCTGGATCACCCTATATGTATATGCACGTAGAAGCGACGTCTAGTATGTTCGCGAAGGACGAAACGTTGTACCGATATGCAATTCTCTCATTCCGTAGGGTCCGTAGCGATAGTTCTTCTCCATTTGTTTGGGTGAGCTTGTTAGTTTATCTTTTGTGAACAGAAACACATATAACGAAAGACGCATAATATACCGATTCTGGGAAATTGTTTCGAGAAAATGGGATAAGTGTATCGAAAATACAGTGCTAATAACGCTTTAAAGTACGGTTATATCTAATCGGCGATAACAGTACTATGTCTCTCACTTAAAAATGCTCGTTAAATCGCAACAGATCCCTACGAATCTTTCTTCTTACGATAAATTATAATTGCAAGAGGTGTGCGGATCATCCCAGCTTCGGGACAGGTTGGAAAAATTCGGGCGAGATCTGGATACTCTCGTATTGTTTCGGATTCCGGTACCGATCCCGATCTCGATCCCGATTCCAGCCTGTAATCTTGTGTACCCAACATATCTCTATTATAGATACATAAGTATGTAGCTACGCCACTGCACGCACTGATTGCTCACGAGCAGCAGCAAGCAACAGTGGCTAAATACACTTCCTTTCGCTTGTTACTGCCATTATTCTTCTCAGATTGATTCACGTGGCGGGCAGTCAGTTGTGCAGTTCTCAGCTACATACAGCTACATATAATAATTGCAGGTCTGCCTAATTCCGAATTCCGTCTCGGCTACCTTCGTCGATTCCATCGTTAATTTATCTCCAAATTATCTTAAGTTTATCTGTGTTAAGACTTGAAAAGTTATTGATATCAACATGATAAGGATATACATATAAGGCACAATTTCAAGAAACTTTTTTTATTTTCGTCCCGTTTAGACTGATCATGGATTCGAACGGGACACAATTGGTAACAGTTGTGCAATGGGGATCTATCAACGGGCAAAGCATAGAAAAATACACATTAAGAAACAAAGCGGGTCAAGAGGTGGATATCATAACGTACGGTGCAGCGATAACGTCTGTCAGAACCCCGGACAAACAGGGTAATACTGCAGACGTCGTTCTAGGCTTCGATAACGTCGAAGGTATTATTCAATCTTTCCAGTTGTCTCTGTGCTCTGTCCTTGCTTTCTGAATACAAACGATAGACAAATGTACCGAAGCTAACATCAAACGCCGAGTTCATGCATGGGCGATCAGGTAATCCGTAAATTCGTATATCAAGAACATTTGAATTGCATTTTTGAACAGGATATAAGTCTGCGAGCAATCCGTATTTCGGCGCAACAATAGGACGAGTTGCTAATCGTATTGGCAAAGCAGAATTTACATTGGACGGAAAGAAGTATTGTTTAGGAAAAAATGTTGGTGGAAATAGTCTTCACGGTGGTTTCAAGGGTTGGAGTTCGAAAATATGGAACGCCAGGATTCGGAACGAATGGCTTGTATTGTCCCTCTTAAGCGAAGACGGAGATGAAGGTTATCCTGGAGCTGCTATAGTTTCAGCTAGCTTTAAACTAACTAGCGACGGAGAATTACACATCGATATGAAAGTTTTCGTTACCAAACCCAGCCCAATAAACTTAACTAATCATAGTTACTTCAACTTAGCTGGCCATGTACGTAAATTGACGCTTGTTTATCTATCTATGCCTAAGAACATGTTTCAATGCGCAAACCTATCGTTCGATTTACGTTTAAATTTGGTTACACGTTTCAGGAAACTAACGCGACTGAGCTATATAAACATGAATTTGTATTGAATGCCGATCGTTGGACCGTTACCGATGCGGAAAGTATTCCTACCGGTGAAATTCGATTGGTCAAAGACAGCATAATGGACTTGAGGAACACGACGTCGCTGAAAGATGTTATCGATAAAGTACCGGGTGGTGGTTTTGATCACAATTTTTGTTTGACAATGAATAACTCTGAGAACGAGAATAAGTTTGTTGCACGAGTTTTACATCCACCTTCCGGAAGATATTTGGAGGTGTATTCCAATCAACCCGGTGTACAATTTTACACGAGCAATTTCTTTCCCGTTCAAGGTGGCACAGGTATTCGAGGAAAAAATGGTGCCGAATATTTTAAACACGGAGCATTCTGTCTAGAAACTCAGAATTATCCGGACGCTGTAAATCATGTAAGTGCAAAATATCTCTTCGCATTGGGTATTTTACTTAAAATTTCTGACCTATCGAAAATCTAGGCTCATTTGTTTTCTATTAACTATTGCAGAAAAACTTTCCCAATCCTATATTGGAACCAGGAGAAATCTATTGCCATACTGTCATATACAAATTTGGTGCAATGATTTAAGTGAAACTCATGCGTTTTCAGGAAATGATTCCTTGTTAAAATTTGTAGCAATTGAATTGTGAACATTTAATATAATCTTTCTTAATACAATCAGTGCTGAAGACCACTCAAGCATTCAGCATTATTCATCTACTTACAAGCATCCAGGAACTGCTATTGGAAGTGCAATGTATGACTTCACTATGCCGCATAGAACATGTTAACTTATTTTACTTTTGTTCTAAAATCAATCATGAAATGTAAGTATATTTATATGGATAAAGAAGGAGGAAGATTAAATTCCAATGGGTGATGTACTCTCTGGCTACAGGCAGAATCTGTGTCCTCCAATAGTCTTTCTTCACGTTGTTGTTTTATCGATGCTGTTGCGGGAGTATAGCGATCGGATATATATCCTTCGATACAATATCCAAGGTAGCCAACTACACAACCGATAGGAAGTTGTATATAATTCCCAAATTTACTAAATACTCTACCCCAGAGTATCCACATCTTCTGAAATCAAAACACATGAACATGTAATTTACTTCTCTTCTGTAGCAAGAAAGTTACTATTAAAGACTACATTATAGTTTTAGTTTGTTGCTCATCAGATCTGGATATTTCGTACAGTACGGTTCTCGTTTCAAGTAAACAATCACTCATACGATTAAATAAAATTCCACGGAAGATAGGTTAGAATCATTTCGTTTATCGTATACCTATCGCTATCAATAAAGAACTGTGCGTGAGTGGACTCATAAACAATTTACAATGCTCAACAGCATCCACACGATACTATTCCATACTTACGTAAATTATTAAAAATGCTTTCGTTTGAAATAGTTGACATGGACAATACCACATGAACAATAAGTTAGATCGACCATGACTGTGCATGATTGACCATCATTATCCATCAGTGACCATTAAACTATCTAACCATCGTCAACCCGGTCAACCATCGTGGCCTCGTCGCCTGCGACCAGCGACACTCGCGGCAATCAGCGGCAATAAAAACATTGAAACGTGAATTCAAAAGTAGAAAGCTATAGTACAGTACCTATACGTATTGCTACTTGACTGCCATACTCTGCCATACTCGTTGAACTCGTTGATATTTGCCGTGCTAATCAATAAAATATTGTTAGCAATATAGTAATGTAATTCATCGTAAAATCATATTTAATATGTTTTTCTGTTTAAAGATCAAGGACTTAAGATAAAAAAAATCGCAATCACGATCGTGAATGAAGTTAAATTACGGCCGTGATCACCGTGATCACCGTGATCGTGATTCGGCGTGATTCGGCGATCACTGTGATAAATTACCGTTAGTGATTTTGCACGCCATCTCTATAATATAGACTATATGGTACGGATGAAGTCGGCACTAGAAAGAGAGGACAAAAACTGGAGCAACTTTCCTCTCTTTCTAATGGGGCTCTTGGTGGGGGATTCTCCTACGCCTGTAGTGGAGGCATTAAATGCGTGCATCATTGGCTGCGTTCAGAAGACACAACGGTTGCGCAACCGTTGTGTCTTCTGAACGCAGGCATTCCTTCTCCTGATCTGTCCTGATCTGTCCCGATCGCCACATGATCGCCCTCTAGTCGCTTTCTCCCATTTCTCTGCGATGTGCGAACAAGAAAGGAGTTACTTCAGCGCTACTTCTGTCCTTCGGTCTCGCTTTATCCGTACTGATCCCTACCATAAGACGCGCACAGTTTATTATATGTATATGTCCTATGCTGTCCTTCAATAAGAATGTATAGATTTTGGAAATATTCTAAGGTATGTTTAATTACGTGTTTTTTAATACAAAAAAATAGTAACACAGTGTATATAAAAATATGATACGTCAATGAGTGTTCTACTTGACTATATGTAATTAAAAAAAGGAATAATTTTCTGTTTCTTTTTAATAATGTCGTATCGATATGCATGTTAATATCGAGATTTTCTCTCCGATATATTGCATGCATCGAGAATAACAAAATCAATACGTATCGATACTTTTGAATGTATATCGGGCATCGCTAGTACCTGTACTTTAGAGAAACATTTTTGCGCGAAATTCATATTGTTCGAGTTCAGCTGAATTTCATGAAAATCAGAGTGATCCTTCCTCGTTCGGATTATTAGTGAATTAATGTCAATAATTCCTACTTATATCCTTTCGAAAAGAAAACGCTTTCTCTTTATTTCCATAAAGGTGCGAACTACCAAAGTGAATTGTAAAAGTACGGTCTTTCGATTACAAAGCTAACAATAAGTAATAAGGGATACGTCCAATGAGCTGTATTATGCGTGTTTGTTTACATTCAAACATACATTTGATCTTTGATTACAGATCCATTACTGATTTACACAGAGTTGATTTGCTTGCGCCTTACTGTCGTTGCTTTATAATTTCTGTACGTTCGCACAAAAGATTTCGTGTAATCTCGAGATTCGAGAAATGATAACGCCAGGCAAATGTAGTAATGTACGGTACACAGGATTCATACACACGTATAGACTCGTCATATCAGTCCGTTGCCTTCGTTGCGTCTACATACAACTTGGTATTCCTGTATTCGTGTATTTTACACATTTTTACGACGCAAATTAATTTTCGCGATTTTAACTTAAAGCTATTTCATCGTATCGTCAACGTTCTTTCGATCATTGCACAAAATAAACCCTTAACTACTTTGTACAAGTATAATATACGTATAACCCTATGCGCGAATTTGGTTTGAGTAATAGAATACTACAGGATTCTACTTGACTAGTTTTACGCATCACTAGATTCCTTTTCGCTGCGAATTCTTAACTGTCTGAAAAAATCACGTTACTGGGAAGTGCAAGACAAATACGCGTAATTATATGTAATCTAACTGTAGCTTTGTTTCGAGTGCTTTGTTTAGTTGCATGTTATTCGCCGCATAAATTCTGATGACGTTAAACGTTTTCAGAATCATCTTACAGTTTCTTCCTGGACAGATTTTATACAAGCGGTTTTTTAACACACGATACATCCTGAAACGATCATTCGAATGACACATTTTTGTTCTTGAAAATATAATCGTTCCATCGATCGGAGGAACGAGTTTTATTAATGTCGGCACCGATGAACCTTTTTATCAAGTACAATGACGGTTTCTTAAAGAAATCTTGATATTTCATGCATACAAGACTCGCGCGCCGCGCGCGTACACGCATCGTATCGAGGATGATGTGTATCCAAAATGTTAAATGGAGCACGAAAACGTGTGTGCAGTTTTACGCCCTCGAAAAATTATTGTTATTAACATTATTGCTATTGAAGAAGTGGCAAAGGAAAGGAAATCTGACTGTATCGGGGGGTAAAGTGTCCTTGATAATTCTCGTGTACGATGAAACTGCTCCGATTTGATCGTACGGACATCTAAGTAAAAAAAAGAACAAATAAAGTACGAAAATAAAAGACTAAATCTTAGAAAGCGTTTGTTAACCGCAGTAATTGTTAATGTTTCGGCACTGAACGACACGAACGTGTAATTTTTACATGGAAAGAGAGACGAGAAAAAGATGAAATGAAACGTGTAGAGGAAGAATGTGTTCTTGCTGTTAAAGTGGTCGTCTACCTCGACAAGTTTTCTAAAACGACTCGTTATTGCATTGTAACTTGGTAACGTGCATCATTTACACATAATCAATAATATTTACTATGTCATCGGACGCATTTAAAGACTAGGAAGTTTAATCTTTGAAGCACCACCAATTCACGTAACCACCTTCTGCAATAGAATTCTACATCGAGAATAAATAATGCGCACACGGATGGACTGAATCAGAATAATATGCAGATCGTGCGTCGAGGAAATATTACGAAAATTTCTCGTACGTTATCTAATAAGTCATGGTGGTTTTCTTTTCTCCGAACGTGTGGCGTTCTCGAGTAACCAGAATTGCTTAAACCAGGAGTGAAGCAATTCTATTCCATGGATCAAGTATTTTCTATCGTTTTTCTCGATGAAAGTCTCAACAATTTTTTCGACGGTTGACATTTAAATCACCGGTAAATCGATGCTTTCTTTCGCGTACGTAGAAAGAAAAGCACTTTTGCACTTTCGAAGAGGCAGATTGCAAAGTTCTGCTAATCGCGATAGAAACAAACGCACGGTTGTTATTTTCACGATTGATGTACCTCACGATTCTCTGCTGACTATTGTCGCGTCTGGTATAGGTCGAAATCTGCGACACCTACAATGGTAACGGTATCGATGATTAATACGATCGAGAGGTGACAGAGAGAGAGAGAGAGAGAGAGAGAGAGAGAGAGAGAGAGAGAGAGAGAGAGAGAGAGAATAGAGGGGGAGAGAGAGAGAGAGAGAGAGAGAGAGACGCGGCGGTGGAAAAAAAGGAAGAAAAAAAAAAGAAGAAAGAGGAAGAGACACCGTCGCGTCGGTACGTACCTGGCATTGTTTTCTGCAACATGAGGTGGTAAGGATGTGGGAGGCGGCGGAGGCTGAGCATTAGGTGGACCACCGCTGTCGGAATCGTTGTCGCTGCTCTCTTCCGTCTGTTTACCTGCTTCTCCCAGTAGATGCGAAGGTACTCCTCTAGGGGAAAATCTAGACAGTACTTCAGAATTGGGTCTGACTCTGCGTTGCGGTCTTTGGAATCGCAGGTTTAGTTGACTAGCATCCGTTACGTATTTCTCGCTTTGTCTTCGACGACGTAACGCAGGCGTGCATCCAGTTAAGTTTTCGTCTTCCGTCGAATTAGCCGACGTTAACGGTGAAAAAATCGGTCGTGTGTCGGGCAAAGTTGCACAGCGTCGTAGCTCCCGGGCCTCCCAGTTCACTGTCAAGGGTTTGCCTTTGATAGCTAAAATTTGGCAATGTTAGTATCGCTACGAAGCTGTACCTGCTATTATTTGCAACAAATCAGCTTCCCAAAACAAATACGGTTAAACAAGCGGGGACCGTCCCTTGCATTTCCTTTCCCTTTCTCTCCTTTCTGTCTTTCTTTCTTTTTGGATTTTTCATTGAAATAACAACCGGTTAGAATCGCGAGGATTCCACACGTATCTTTTCTTCAACTAAGATTGTACATAAATCAGAAAAGAAAGCGAGAAGCTGACCGAATGGCCTGCGATTCTTGAATTACAACGCGCCCAATAAAACTTTTCGAACGCTTTTGTGCAGGAAGATAATCAAACACACTATACAAATAAGTTTTCTCTGTTGACCCGAGACGAATCGTAAATATTTTCCTTCACAGCTATAGGAAAGTTCAGCAATACAAAGAACTTTAAAGGAGTGTCGTTTTTAGTGGTAACAACGGTTCATGAAGGTAAACAGCATTGGGCGTGAGGAAGCCTTTGCTTGCACGTTTCTCTTTCTCTTTTCGAGTACTTTGTATTATAGTGATTCTGGATGATATCGAGCGTCAAACACGAACTCTGCTTTGGTTAGTTAAATTTCGTCGGTTCCAGAATAGTTAGATTCATGGAACCGGTTAAACAGGACCGTACAGTATTAAACGTTGCACAAAGACTCAAGAGAGAATTAAATGATTACAGTTTAAGCTAAAAAAAAAATCTTACTAACTAGCATCTTTTTCCCTGGTTATAGCCGCGGGTGTGGAGGATTTTTCTATTTCGTTTCCCACGCAAGTCCTGGTATTCTGAGTATTCGTTTCTGGAGTGGATTCTGATAGCGAACATCTGGGACTTTTAACCGGGACCGGTATTTTACTGACAGTGTTATAAATCCTACAAGGAGCTTCCTTTTCTTTATTGTCCTTATATTCACGGGTCGGTACTATATTCGACATAGTCGTTGATGCAGTGGTGGTATTATTTTCCTTCTGCACGGTAGCATCGACAGGTGGCCGATTTTCAATAGCATCATCGTATACCGACGACTCTATGGACTATCCACTGTACCGTTTGCCATTTTTCCTGTCGAATCATTAAACAGTTGAATCCTTGGTTGTCGAAGAATTTTTTAACGAAGAGATGTAACCGAGGAACGAAGCGTCTGCGATACTAGAAAACTTGTTTATTTTAGGCAGACAGATGATGGAAATGAGCGAACGCAACAGGACGCGGCGGTACGATGTAATTAAAACGCAACTGAACGAAACGCAAATCATCGGTACTTACTTTGCAACGGTTCTCTATCAGTAATAGTTTGCACAACGGTAGCACCACCTGTCCCATCGACCACCCTAATCTCCAGCCTTCCTGCTACCGCTTCTTCTTCTTCTTCTTCTCCACCGGGAGTACTAGGCGTTGTGTTAGGCGGTGAAAAAGCAACTGCCGGTACACTCGCTCTTCGTGGTGGCGGACTCTCTCTCGGTTGATCGTAACGCGTAGCGATATTTCTCATAAGATCAACTTCGTACACCAAGTCGTCGAATGACGCTTGTTGAATCTGTCAAAGAACATGATAGATTTGTACAGAAAAGAAACTGTTGCATGAGGAACCCGTTCATAGTTCGGTTGCCTGAAAACCGTAAATATTCGAAACGACATTTACTAACCAACGGTGCTTCGAGGTAAGCGCGAACATGTGGTGCCAAAGCGGGGACGCTCCAAGCGCGTGGAAGTGCCCCTTGGAGATCTGGATATTTTTCAATGCCAGCGATGTTTAAACATCTATGAGGAACCGAAGGTTTCGGTGAATCTTCGCTGATTCGAGATAGGGCAGTCGGAATTATTGAATGCTGGTGAGATACAACCGACGTGGCTGTCTGAATCACCGCTGTTTTCGCGTCGATAGACGCAGGCACTGAAGATACGGTAGTCACAGCATCATTGACAACTGTCGACTGTATATAGAAATTTCGTAATGAAAACAGTAGATTTTTCATCTTATGTAAATATCTGTCGTTTAACTCAAACGGAAAAAGCGACAAACTTGATGGTCGGACACGCACACAACATCCGTGTTTCTTTTCGTTTTATCTCCATACATAAGACATGCATTTCTATCAACTACGCTGAGCTACACGAAAGATTCGAATGATCTGTGGACATATACGTCCCGTCAAGATTTTACGATATAACGTTAGCAACTTCTAGAGGCGATCGAAAAAGTAATCGTAAATTAATCTACCCGATAACAACTCGGCATTAAAAAATTCGCAGATCAAAAAGTCAAGCATGGACAAGAGCAACGACGGTACAGAATACAGAAAAACGAATAAAGCTTGTTCACGATGACATATAAAGAGGTCGATTTGATTCTGTGGCAGGTAACGGGCGCATCAAACGAAGACATCAAAACTGGCCAGACACGGCTAAAATATCAAAGATACACCCATAAGTTGTGTACAGTAGAAACGGTTTTGAGAAATTTCCTCAATTATTATCCGTGTAATGCGTACATACGCATGTGTAAGTCTCGCCCTCACCCCCTTTCTCAGACAAATCTAACGATGAGTATCAATTCAAGCTTTTACCTGTGGAACTATAGCCGGCATGTTGGTCCCTTTGTGTTCAGGGCTCTGTAAATTTTCACCTTTCCATTCGTTGTCGGTCTCTTCAGAGTCGTCAAACTGTGACTTCCACTGAGAAGCCAACGTTAAGCCACCACCACCTTTGGTTACTTGCTGCAATGCAGACACATTATCGTCATCTATTTGGGCGAATTGTGTAATAGAGCAATCTCGTATTGCCGCACGGCTAGCTCGGCTCTGCTGGCGACCGTCTGTTCTTCTGCGTGGCTCTCTTTTCAGTGGTTCCCTTTGTTCTGTAACCTGTTAGAAAGTAAAAAAATGATCTTTTCACCGAATTTATTCAGATTTTCATTGATCGAGCGAATAAAGTACTTTGAGACATACGGGACTTTGATTGCCAACGTATTTTTGATTAGTGACATCGTAGGAACAATAAGAAGCATCGACTTCGGTTTGCACTCGAGGACTAGGTGGTTCACCGGTTGTTGTTTCAGGTGCAGGTGTTACCCGTAATCGAGCAAACGTTGCCCCGCTTGCGGATTTTCTTAACGGCGCAGCCGCATTCGCACTTATTTTATTTCGAGGAACTTCCGAAGCAGAACGAGCAGATGCCATTAATGCATCCCCTTCATTGTCTACGGGCTTTTCTACAGTTACCACCCCTGTTTGAGGTTCAGCAGCCAACGAAACTGCTCGTCTTTTTTTAGGTGAACCTACAGATACACGAATGTGCATAAACATTTATTCATTTATTCGTTTATATACATATAGTATACGGAAATATATGCGTAATCCAGGGACTTAAAACCGGTATTATGCCAGTAAAGATATACTGAAACCGATACATATACCGGTATAATACCGGTATAATACTGGTACAAGTCCCTGGCGTAAACACGAAAGGAATAAAAAAGAGAAGAAAATCGTATTATTGATAGAAGCGATATAACCTTGAGTCGTTGGTGGAAGAGCGATGGGTGTTGTCGATCGTAGGTATGGTGGCATTGCAGTTCTTATCTCGGCCGTGATTGCTGATGGTTGATGTAAATGGTACCGAAGATCCTTCCACGCCGCGCTGTTTATTTTTTCTGCATATGGTATCGTAATCCATTTGTGCCTGTGAAAGAAACAAAATAATGGTACAAAATAACTGATTGTTCTGAACACATTAGAATCCGTCCAGCGTACGCAGTCTATACGCCAATAAGACGCAATCTCTACGCAATTGTCAGCCCCGTTCGCTGTTAGCGTTATCTCGTCTTACGTCTAATTCTTTCCTGTTGTCCGGTTCGACGTTTTCTTGATTGTTCGTGTCAACATTTGGTGTGGTTGGTGGTTGATTGATTGTAGTTGCTGTAGTCAATACTGGAGGTATAGTAACCGTGGGTAAAGATCTTGTAGTTGGCAAACTTTCATTGCTTATCAATGGTCTTTCCCAATCATAAGGATCGTACGTTTTTACGCCTCTACGTTTCATGCAGCGTTCGAATAATCCAGCTAGCATCGCATAATCTGGTTCATCTGCATACTTCAAACCCTGAGAAAAAAAATAAATTAAACTGAAGACTAGCGACCATTATAAGACCCTTCCTTCTAGGGACAAATGCAGTTCAAATATCGTGAACAATACCAACGAAAAAGAAATCTGATTTCACAGAGTTCCCACATATGTATGAACCACCAATACCTGAATATGTTCCAGAAAACCTCGAAGGTCGGATGGTAGATGCTTTAAAAGTAAATGATGATCGTAATTCTCTTTCATCAGGCCCACCTAAATCACAAAAAATAACATACAGCGATCTACATAAAATGGTTTTGCAACAATGCGGATGCTGGTTACACGATTATCGAAATAAATTCACCTGTAATGAGTACATACCTGTTCTTTATCCTTTACTTTTCGCCATGGAAGCTGACCATTAACAAATTCTACCAACATATAGAACAACGACCATAAGTCGTCATGCCTCCCCATTTCTTTATTTTTATGTGCATTCACAGATGCGTAACGGACGGTTCCTCTGAATCCTGCTGCACTGCGAGGCGGCCGAACTTCACCGGTACCAGTTGTAAATTGACGAGCTAGACCAAAGTCTAACATGTATACCAACCTCGAATTATGTGGAAGTCGTCCGATTGAAAAGTTTGACTGTAAACGTAAAATTTCTAAAAATTACTGTCCATGATGACACGAGTAATGTCTATTTCAGATTTCACTGGTACAATACCGTTCTCACTAGAACATGACTTCACAGTTACATGAAAATTGTATGTAGGAACAGTCGAACAATATGTAACACGTAAAATGCCATGTAAATACTTAGAGACCACTGATCAAATGTTTTCCACAGGCGAAGTGGTCTATACGGACTTTTCATTTACAGCTAATAATAAACAATTCAAAAGAGTAAACCCTCCACAGTACTTTTAGACAAATTCCTTTGACATTCAATGGGATACTGACACAGAAATTACGTAGTCCCAAATACAGTAGTGTCCACGAGTAGGCTACTTTTAGAGTTCGCAGAGTAGCTCTCTCGAGTTATGCTAAGATAACGCCGAGCAAGATAGACACTGCGAGTGAGTGAGCGCGCGAAATTTGGACAGTTCGTTTCAGTTCAACGGTTGCGACAACGTAAACTGACCGTTGTATGAAAAATAAAATTAATCTAATTTTCTTGTTTCTTAATGAGTATGTGTTCAATGAAATCATTAAATTTTTGCTGATGAAAAGGGGTCCAAACACGGCATAAACTCTACTATTTTTAGTTATATATGAAGGTACATACACATTTCTAAGTGGGGTATTAAAATATGGGTGTTTGTATGTATCATCACATGTACCATCATATACATAGAAAATATTAATATGTAGTGAAAAATTTGTAAAACCACGAATCATTTGCAATATTTTTTTAACTAATAATATAATTCGTTATAAAATAATGAAGACTACAGTGAAACAAAGTCACCTTACCTATGTGTGCATGTGTTTATTATATATTTTGAACGTCACATTCCTCGTTTTCTTTCAAAACTATAAATCGCACCTCTGCGAGGAAAAATCAAATAGTTAAGCTATAGATTTTTAATAATAAATAACGATACATCGGATGTCGTTTTTACGCGTCGGAACAGTGATATTTCTTGTCTTCTTCATTTCCCATACTCTATTAAACCATTTACTTGTTCTTCGGGTAATCCTGTATCGAAAGTTCGCACTTCTTAAACCTTGTTGGATGTAATTAATAGTGAAATAGCGTAAGATTATTTCATGTACAAAATGTATAGTACATATTGCTCACATAATCTAAAATAGTCCGATTGAAGCCGTGTTTGGACTCATCTTTATCATAAAGATTTTACTAGTCTATTACAAAATAATCTCAATAACGGAAAATAAAAATTACTGTAATTCTATTATTCAAATATTGGTTTGACAATTTTGTTGCCGGCAGGCGCCAACTAACGATAAAAGATAAACGAGTACAACTAGCGAACCCCAAAGAACAATGAAGTGGAGGGGGAAAAACGGGAGCTATTTCGCGACTGAAAAAGGTGGCCAACTCGAGGGCATTATTGTAAATGGTCGAGGTAAAGCAAATTATTAGAAAACCAAAATTACCGGTTTAATGTCTCTGTGAAGAAAGCCTACTTCATGTATGCTTTCTATTGCTTTAAGAATTTGGAGTCCTAAACGAAGAGTAGTGGACAACGAAAAAGCTCCTCTTGGCTGGGCACGGCGTAACTCGGCCAAATTTTTGCCTTGTAGTTGCATTACGACATAATTGAATCGATCGTTTCGACCGCAACCAATAAATCTGCAAACGTGATCTCTACCTGTAACACATACAATTATTAATGATAATACATATGCGTGCGCGCGCGCGTTAATACACGCGTTCGCCCGCGCGCGCGGGTGTGTGTGTGTGTGTGTCTGTGTGTGGGTACACAATATTCGGAACTACCAATGCATGTTGTACTTTGTTCCTACAATAGCATATAATTTCAACAAACCCTGAAGTTTTTTCAGTACAGCTACTTCCATCTTAAGAACCTGCTTTGGTTGACGTCCAGACTCAACTTTTAATGCAACTTGTTCCCTGGTCATCACATCTAGGCCTTCGTAAATCTCGCCAAATCCTCCACCTCCTATTTTTCTAATCTATGAAATATGAACGATACATTCATGCAATTGAAATGGGAAAAGCAAACAATTGGTTTTTTCATAAAATTACTTTGTTTCCATTAAAAACATAAATACGGGAAAGACATTAATTGACTCACAACTTTCCAGCGTTCTTTGACCACATGGCCAGGCTGTAGCAAATCCTCGGTAGTCATGGTTATATTATTGTTCTGGTCCGTACTTTCGTCGCCTAGATTCCTTGGCAGCAAATTGGTCGAATGATCGGGATGCCTGAAAAACGCGAGCGATCCCTTACGTGTGACTGGTCGAAGGTGGACAGGACTTTTCGCATGCTGAATGCCTTTGAGCCTCTGTTGGCCTCTCTCTCCAGTATAAGAGAAAAGACAAGGTTGAATTAAGCAAGATTAATCAGAATTACATCGACATGACATTAATAAATAGAACAAGGAACAGCCTGATACAACGAACTTTTTAGCTGTCAACGTTAGACAAGCGACACGCCCCGAAATTAAAATAGGTTAGGTTTTGTAACCTAAAGCAGTGTATTAAGGTAGAAAATTGGTCGATACTGGGCGCCCTGTGTTAGGCAGCCATGATTGCGTGCAAGCGAAGGGTACAGTGGATACGTAGGGAACGACGGTCATCCGTTGTGTCCATCGTTCGATAACGCTCAGTCGATTCGACAACCGGCACATTTCATTTTCCTTCGCAGACCGTTTGCAGACATAATTTCGACAATCGCACCTTTAAAACTTTCGGATAACTTTTCTCACCATAAGTCGCTAACCTGCGTTGACTCGCGTCGATCATTACGAACACAACCGAACAAAACCGAATCGAGCAATTAAACTAAGAGAGAGAGAGAGAGAAAGCACAGCCGAAGAAAAAATTATTCTACACTTTTTAGTTTGCATGCTGATCGTAGTTTGAAATAATTATAACATTTCGGTGTATAGAGCGGCTTTTTCTAAATTTTCGCGCGCACACCCATCGATTCAGATGTAATATTTCATTTTTACTAACGATTTTGTTCGCTACTATTAATCCCTGATGGCGTTTCCTGACAATCCGAACTCCTTCCAGGCAGCGCGTAACGCGTAAGTTCCTTCACGATCGCACTCTGATACTTCGTATCACTATTTCACCCCCTTCCAACTAGTTTACCTCTATCTTCTCCTCACCCTTTCGCCCGTCCTTTTCTCCTTTCCTTTCCTTTGCTCACCCTCTCTCTTTCTCTCGTAAACTCTTACCCAACACCCCACTCTTTCATACTTTTACTATCGTGTTATTCCTACTCCTCATTTTATTTTAATAATCACTCTGTTCGCGATGAACAATATGTTTTCGATACGTCTCTAGTAGCTTTAAGTACGACTATTTTCCGTCAAACACTGATAGAACAGCCATTTTTCGATTTTATACACGACACTCGTAATGCTTGTAAACGCCGCAAGATAGCGACCTAAATGCTCGATCGATGTTATGCTACTACATATCCTCTATTTTCTCACTATATTCTTTCAAATGTTTCACGGTCTAATCAGTCGGGTTTTCATACATTTTATGCAACCGTTTTCTTTTCTTTCACACTTTTCCATTTTAAACGTGACATTCTTTATCGGAACTTTTCTTTCTATCATCACCGACGAGGTAAGTAGAGGACTCCTATATACTGTCCTATACCTTGTCTCGTCGGTGGTGTCATATATCCCGCGTATCCTATGCCACGCAGGTTCGACCGCTGGAAATTATTGTACTTAACTCTCAGCTTTCCATTTTTGTTGCTGATTATCTTGTGCGTCGTGATAACTTCAACGAGACCGTTCATTGTGGGTATCGTGAAATCTAAATGAGTTATTAACAGCTTTTTACTGACTTAACGTAGTGGATGAGCAGAACTGTGCTGAAATTTTCTTAGTAAATTGAGGTTATGTTACGAACTACATTTTACATTCATTAAATGTTAAGACCATTACACCCTCAATATTATTTGTAACTTTGAATATAAAGTTAGTGTATACGATTTCTTTAGTTTAGCATACTGATGTACAGCAGTATATTTGGTGGAGGGAAAAAAATGATAGTATTAAATTCACAGAAAGTTTGAAGCGTGAGGGATGTCTGATACTTTTTTTACAAGAATTTCAAGTGAGTAGCATCGTTTATCTGTAATGTATTATTTGTAAACGTTTGCGGACACGAATCTCTTTAAATATACTCAAAATGATGCCTGTTTAATCAGTCAATGCTTGCAACACGAGCATACATTTGACTAGAAAATGATGTATATATACATATATGTGTATACATAGGTATTGGTAGGTATGCATGTACGAATCTCACTCACTATCAGCATCACATATTATTTTCATAACCGTGCATATAGACTCAAAGCAGAACGGAGTAAAAGGCAAAAATTTAAATTACACGTAACAAAAGAAAATTATTTTTATGAAAAAGAGATGAGTAAGTATACGTTGTTTTTCTCTATTAAGAGGAATGGAGTATTCTACAGATGAGAAATATCACCCTTTTAAATACCTATAACGCTCATTTCTCTGAGCAATTGACATGATTATAAATAATCATTTATAACCTCGATATCTTGGATATTACAGCGCATAACCAAAGTACCATCATCTCCAAATTATTTTATACTGTCTTCGTAACATCTAATTACGCGGTCGTGTGAGTAGCTACTAACACTTATGCAACAATTGTAATTGTAATAATACCTAGTTAAAAGAAAAAAGTAACAATAGTGTAAGTATTTAATGTTGTCGTTACACATGTGTATTTATATATGTATATGATTTGCGTTCGCGTGCACCATTGTATATTTAAACGTTTACACTTTCGGAGAAGAAAGTGTTGATTCCTATACGAGGTGTCCACTCGCCGCGGGAAAATAATCATCGCGCGTGCGCGTGCGCGTGCACGCGTTTGATACACGATAGAAAAAAGATCGGTAGGTAGTACCTGGTAGTACCGATTGTTTGTTCATGTTATTTGCTGGTATCGACTGTGTTATGAATTTTAGTCGTCTTAATTTAACATATTCGGTACGAGTGGGAACTGTATATATTTCGAAACATGGGCGAATCTCGCGACCGCTTTCGAACTACATATAGGTAGTGCCCCGGCCTTATCAATCAAATACCCGCCTTTGTACATATGTAGATACACGACATGCATACATACGTATAGCCACAAGTGACATCTAAAGAAACAGTATGTTACTAGTTGTCCATGGTTAGAAATATTTCAAGGTGCGTATCCACTTGTTGCGTATCACAGTATCGTATCACCGTTCTGTATCAATGTGGACGGGGAAAAGCGTTGCATCGTTGCGTATGAAAATGTATCGTATGCTAATACGATACGATGATACGCAACAAATGGATATGCACCTTTAAAGAATTACCTAAACGAGAAATCCTACGGCCGGATAGCAGCTATAGTTTGCATTAAAAAATGTGATAAAAAAACATTTTCTATTATTAAATGTCTTAGAATAGTTATAATGACATACTGACACTAAAAACATAAAAAAAGAACGATTCGTTTCTCCAGGCCATGAAGTCGAGAAAAGGATTACGATCCGTCCTGACTGTGTTAAAGTGTAAACGAAATTTCACACGATTTGATTTGGTAAAGCAAGTCGAACAAAAGTAAAACTAAAGAAGGTTTCTCAGTGTTTCGTCGGTGAAATAATATTCAGGAAGATAAAAGACATAACTGGTTAACGCATAAAAGGAGAATTGTGGAATTTGACAATATATCATTGGAAACGCGAATAAAGATCGACCGCAACGACATTTGGCCCTGTTTTTTCCCTTAAATATACGATAAGAATAAGTAGGTAGTAGAAGAGACTAATGAAATTTCGAAATGCTTAAATTACTAACTCCATTCGCCAGAGGGCATAATTTAAGTTTAAACATCTATTTTTAAACGACCCCACTCTGTATGTGTATATAATACGCAGAGTAGTATCTTTCTCCGCGCCAAGGTATTTTTCGAGGTAGTTCTGTTGCTCTTTACCTGTTCATGGCTCGAACGGGACTCGGATTTTTAATTTTTAATCGATCGACCGATAGCCGATATGTAGTAGTCTTGTTGACTCGATGTAGCTTTCCCAGTTTTCGAAATGTGTATAGCTAATACACATAAAAGATGAAGGTATAAATAAAATGCGCATACACATAGCAGACGCGTGCGCGCGTTCATGCGCGTTCTCCAGTGAAATCAAAAGTACATACTTGCACACTTCGGCATGCGCTGTTTATGCAAAATTTACGAATACATGTAAGAAAACGAAAAACGAGACAGTGTTAGCGATTGTAAGGAGGGAAAATCACACTTGGAAATGAACTGGTACGTAAGGGGAAAGAGCACGAAGTATGTACAGTGTACAGGATACAGGAGGGGCCGGAGTGAAAGAGACGGTGAAAGGATGAGAAGTCGCAAAATAAATGTCGAATGTCTCGAAAGAAATATGTAACTATTATCACGTACCATTTCATGGCTCCGAACGAGAGAGGGACTGGGCGATAAATAAAGGCAATGAAAAGATCGTGCCGAGTGGAAAGGTGGTTACACGAACAAAGATGACGCAGAGTAGGTAGAATGATTACAGCGACGGTGGCGGTGGCGGTGGCGGTGGCTGAGGCGGTGGCAGTGGCGGCAATGATGGTGATGGTAACAGCGGTGGTGGTGACGGTGGTGAATCGACGTGTTGATCAAAATCAAACACAAGATACGAACGAGCAGTTTGATAAACCGGGAAGAATTGATATGAATGCAATACCGTGGACAATTCCACGGTCCCTCCCATGCAGAACACGATAAACGACGATCGAAGAAAACTTGTCGCGAGATTCAAGGAAGAACGTAGTAGAGGATAGTCGGTTAATAAACCGGAGGCTAAGGTTCTCTCGGATGAGCCAGAGCCAGAGCCAGAGCCAGAGCTAGAACGCAAGTCGTCGGCGTCGTCGCCGCGTTCCACTGGCATTGGACTGACACCGACACTCCGACGTCTCCGACATGAACATCGCGATGTTCCTTTTCTTCCATCGCCTCTCCTTCTCTTTACTTTACGATCCTCTCTCCCTCCACCGACTGGCTGGCCTGACGGCCTGACTTGAACCGCACCGATCGCGACGGGCGCTGCTTCGTGTACCAGACCTTGGCACTTACGTATCATACTATAGCATCACTGTCATCCGATTACCCTGAATTACTTACTCGTCTCTTGTGTGGCCCACTCTTACCACGCGATTCGCGACTTGAAAACCATTCACATATTTTCGATGTATTTGATAGCAATTTCGTCGAGTTAACGGTATATACCTATGTACATATATGTACATACATATGTCAATACTGTCACGTTTACTGATGGAAACGATCCTGTTCTTCATCAAAGTAAATAAGTACTTACTTGTACATACATACGTCTTTTTCAGTTAAAGTTAAAGTTCGAAATTCTATAGGAAAACTAGAACTCGTTACATGTCTTGATAACGCTATTATGATTCCAGTACAAATTCACCTTCTACAGAGTTTCATGTGCTGTGACAGCACACAGGATCCTAGTTAGGAGCGATTAAACTGGAGTTCTAAAAGTACGATTGTCTCGAAATTCTGTACGAGAAAATATACGTAGCTATATTTCGCGTATCCCGCCTTCGCGTTCAGCAAAGTTGTGTTATTTCTGTACGGCATCGGTTAAAGCGTGCTCGGGCATTTCACGCATACAATTTTTACAGGTCGACAGTGTTGCAACTTTTCGACCGAATCAACGTTTCATACAGACCCATTTTTCTTTCTTTGTATTCTGTTTCGCATGAAGGTATGTAAGTATTTGTTATTCGTTGGATCCGTCGAAATGCTAGCCACTTGTCTGAAGCAATTGTTGAAAGATTTCGATCAAATGAAAAGGTAGCGATATCGAAACGCGATAGGTATTATACATATAGGTACCAATCGTTACAGGAAATTTCTTCCCGTCCTACTTCCATGCATACCACTATTTTACTTCTTGTTTTATCTTCATTTTAGAATCTGATAAACGGCCGCACGATTGTGTTACTATGCCAGACTCGAGAATAGCATCGGTCAGATGAAATACCGGAATACCAGACGTTGGTTGAATATTCTACGTCTATAGAATACTGACCATATTTGTATTTTAGCAATTACACGTTGGTATGCAACGATGTAGGGAAGGCGTTAATAAGGAAGCTATATACATACATATGTAACATATATATATATATATATATATACACACGTAAGTACACGTGACATTTTTTTGACCGCCACATTCTCCCACTTACCTTCTTCTCTCGAGTCTGGCTACCGTTGTGGAATCCAAATTAAATAATTCTTTCTTCGTGCGTCATCGCATACCACCGTATAATTTGACTATTCAAAACACATAACATTATCGTTCTGTTAATTGTAAAATCTGTTTTCTTAATTTTTATATGTACATATATGTATATGTATATGTATATGTATATGTATATGTATATGTATATGTATATGTATATGTATAAAGTCAAATCTACAATGAATTCCCGATTTTCCTGCACAATATGTTAATTTTACACGCTGCATTTCAAACTAAACGTTAGTAGAAATACTTTTCTTCACAGTAATGAGTCACAGTCAACATGACCGTTTACAGTCACGTTTTACAGTTATCTTTTTTATTATATGTAAATCAATCACCGTGTATGTCGAACAATTAACGTAAAGCAACATGTCAAGAAAACAGACGATTGCCTCGTGTTTACATTGATGCTTATTCATTTAAAATTTAAATGATGCGCGCGACTCGAAAATTTATAAGAGGTCGCTACATTCGTCGACCTTGCTTCGACTTTGCCGAGTCAAAGTGTTTCGACGACAGAAGATTCCAAAACGTACTCGAGAATTTTGTGACAAGTTGCAGCACCGAACAGAGGTTATCGAAGTTGGAAAGCATCACCGATACATTACAAGTTAAAGGTGAAATTATTTCGAAGCCGATACATATAAATTGCAGAATTATGGCACTGAATAAGCTCAGCATCGACAAAGTGGATTTAACGGACAAACGGGTTCTGATACGGTAAAATCTCTTGTTTACTCGTACTTTTATTAACTTTAATTCAACTGCTGCTCGTTTTACTGCATGGAATGTATAATGTTACATTATTCAAATTCTCGTTTCGTTCACTTTACGATCAATATAGCAATACATAATATATCAATAAGCCCTTTGGCATTCTAATAAAATTACAAATTGCGGTCAAAAGAGTGTATAAGTATACAACAGGGAAAGAAAATTATGAGAATTGAAGAAAATGGTACAAACGAGAATAAACTTATTTAGATACCTATGGCAGACTAAACAGTTTCGATACATTGTGTCGCCTGAGATTTCACTCGGGATAAACTGTCGCGAAGGGTTAATAGAATCAATAATACAGCGATAATATATTGAAAGCCGGTGATTGAATTTTCAACTGTTTTACGTACAAAAGCACTTGACCTCTAAATAAAACCATTTATAAGTACTGTTTGTATGGTTCATTGAACGTTAGTCACGATTATATTGCAGGGTGGACTTCAATGTACCATTGAAAGATGGCAAAATAACCAATAGTCAAAGAATTGTAGCTGCACTGGACACTGTTAAATATGCTCTAGAAAAGAAAGCCAAGTCTGTCGTATTAATGTCCCATTTGGGTCGTCCAGATGGAAAACAAGATATGAAGTACACTCTAAAACCAGTCGCGGAAGAATTAAAATCACTACTTGGAAAGGAGATTTTGTTTTTAAATGATTGTGTTGGACCAGAGGTTGAAGCTGCTTGTTCCAATCCTGCCCCTGGAACTATCATCTTGTTAGAGAATCTAAGATTTCATGTCGAGGAAGAAGGCAAAGGATTAGGACCAGATGGGAATAAAGTATGAGGTTTATGGTTACATAACTTTTCCTGTTTTTTTTTTGTTCAAATTAATTCAAACTCCTTTGAGCTATGCATTACAAATTCTGAAAGAATGCTTTCCCTTTAGATAAAAGCGGACAAAGACAAAGTGTTGGAATTCAGAAATTCACTGAGAAAACTCGGAGATATTTATGTTAACGATGCATTTGGTACAGCGCATCGAGCTCACAGTTCAATGCTGGGAGAAGGATACGAAACAAGGGCAAGCGGTTTCCTTTTGAAAAAAGAATTGGACTATTTTGCTAAAGCGTTAGATAAACCAGAAAGACCATTTCTGGCAATACTAGGAGGCGCAAAAGTTGCCGATAAAATACAACTGATAAATAACTTGCTGGATAAAGTTAACGAGATGATCATTGGTGGTGGAATGGCGTATACTTTCTTGAAAATGTCGAAAAATATGAAGGTAAATATTGCGCGAATATGTATCCATCACTCGTAGTAAGTTGAACACATCTGCCGATTTAAACGCACAATGTTTTCAACACTAGATAGGTAATTCGTTATTTGACGAAGAAGGTGCGAAAATAGTAAACGATTTATTATCAAAAGCTGAGAAGAACAAAGTTCAAATACACTTACCAGTCGATTTTGTTACCGCTGATAAATTTGCGGAAAATGCTGCCGTCGGTTCAGCGGATTTAGAAAATGGTATACCAGACGGTTGGATGGGCCTCGATGTTGGACCAAAATCCAGAGAGTTGTTTAGCGGTAAGTGGTATTAATGTTTTTTTTTCTCATCGTTCGTTTACAATGTCGAAACCTCGAGAATACACTCATAAACATCGATAATTTTTACGATTCCCAGAACCGATCAAAAGAGCAAAAACTATCGTATGGAACGGTCCCGCAGGCGTCTTTGAATTCGAGAATTTCAACAAAGGTACAAAAAGTCTGATGGATAATGTTGTGAATGTTACGTCGCAAGGCGCTATTACCATAATTGGGGGAGGCGATACAGCCACGTGTGCCGCTAAATGGAAGACCGAGGATAAAGTAAGCCATGTAAGCACCGGAGGTGGTGCAAGTTTAGAACTTCTCGAAGGGAAAGTCTTACCCGGTGTAGCAGCTCTATCTCCCTTGTAAATTAGCGATCTTTATGTTTCAAAGTATCAGTTGGCATTCAAATTTTAAAGATATCGATTACGTTTGGGTATTAAAACTGATGCTGATGCTGATGCTGATGCTGATGTCTGATGTCTGATGTCTGATGTAATTGGTCGAATGTCTTATCTAACAACTTCGTTATCATTTCTGTGCAAAAAGCATTGTACTCAACGAAACATAATTCTCGTTATTGTACGTAGAATATATTACTATTAATTAACCAAAGCGAATGTAAACACGCTCGAAACACAATTGTTTGCATGAACGCGCATTATGATGTGCACAATTACTGTTAGAGTACAAAAGAGAAAATGTATGTAGATACTGTCAGCCGTCGTATAAAAAAAATGTTAGGTAGTAGATAAGAGCAATGTAAATTCACCAGTTCTATAATACAACGTCAAATACAAACATTTAATTACTTCGATAAATAAAATTCACTTATTGTAGATTCCATGATATATTGACATACCAATTAAAACAACGGAATGCTATTTCATACAAATCAGAGTGTACATATACAAAACATGGGGGTTTAAACATAATATGTATAGACCTCGTAGAGATCTAGTATGGTCGTAAATTAACACCTACGGATACCCGCGGTATTTCAATCCGTGCCTTGTATTTTATTGTAAGGAAGATTTCGCACAATAAAAGAATAACGATTGATGACTAACGGTATTTCATTTACAAGCAGAAAAACTGCAAATATTAATTAGTATTTACAATATTTGGAATATTTGGAATTTTTTATTTCAATATATTGTACGATATATTGATGGACCGTTCTGCGTATGGGTCCGATCGACGGTTCAGGTTCTTATTTCCTCATATTTCTGTGAATTCGTATGTCCCGACACTCGAAACATGTTTACATTACCACTCGACTGATTTTACGACCACCCTATATGTATGTATCTCTGCGAGGACCATTGAGCTCTATCCTAACTAGAGTGTGAACAGTGGTTTGGGAGCCGGTCAGAGAGAAAAGAAATGCCGTGTTTACACAGATTACAACGTGGCGTCTATATCCCCTGCCTCTATACGCAAATTTACTACAGAATAGTACAGACAGAGATGGACACTAAGAAGAAGAAGCATAGGTTCACCGCATATTTTTTATTTCTCTCTGACCGCTGTTGTCGCCTTTACGTCTTAGCACAGGTGTTCACAGTCCAGTTAGGACGGGGACTATACCATCCTAATAATGCTGTGTGTATATGAATACACAGTAAAGCTCCCTTAAACATTCGAACGTCGCGTCAGGTTTAGAACTGTTATGGATCCAAGTCGATGCATTCCGCACAGTACAAATTTCATTTGACTTTGGCAGCAGCGATGGTCGCAGAAAATGAAAGATTGACTGAGCGTCGAGGTAGCCGAAAACGGTTTAAATGCCTACGTATCAGCGATACAGCAATAATGCAACGATGAAATTTTGTTGGTCTTGGGTTCTTTGTTAATGAAAACTTGATTAACCATATTGATGAGATTTTTCTGATTAAAATACGACCAAGCACGATATATATATATATATCATTTCTAATTTATCAAAACGGGTACATCGTATTCTTTCATTAACGCTTCTGATAAATTAAAAATAATCAAAATTATGATCCATTGCTCGCTTGACTGGTTCCAATGGTCGGATTAAGTGAAAACTATTAAGGGTCTAACTGGTCCGAGCGTTTAAGCAGCTATTACTGTACACTGTACGTATATACGTACATACGCATTGTAAAACGTACGAATACATATATCGCGTTTTTATTTATTTACAGCCACGACCCGTCCTGTTATAGTATCATTATCAGGAATAATAAAATCTATTGAATAGTTTGCCACTTGTCGACTATGCGTACAAGTAGTATGTACATATTTAGAATATCGTCGTATTATAAGCCCCTAATTCGTTCAGTACCTCAATATTTCTCCCATGTCAAATGATTATGCAAATTAATTTACATGAATCGACAATTTTGTTGCAATTCCAGGCCACGAAGTAACTTTGGAACATGATCACCTTCACCATCGATAAGTTCTTCAGGTAACTGCCCGCATCCTTGTACTTCTTGTAGAAGCGATATTATCGTGTCGCAGCGTTTTCTTTTAATTTCATCATTGTCTTCGGCCTTTTCTTTTTCCAATTCCACACATACCTATAGCACGAGAAAATACGTAAATGCAGAACACTGTTACAGTTTGTTATTTCAGAACAAAAGTTCAGCTAAAGAAAAGGCGATGTATTTACAATTTATTTTCTACTTACCTTTCGCATTAATTCTAATTGTTTAGTGTATCTATGTAGATCATTGGCTGGTATTGTTGCGTTTTTCTCTTCCAACCATTCCATGTACTTATCTACCAATTCTTTCAACGATGCATATAACATTCCTTTCGACAGCAAGTGATCTAACATACCTTGCATGAGTGGTAGTATAGCACCAAGTTCATCATCCAAAGATGCTTGACCAAGCATTTCAGACAAATCGGGTTCGTTCTACAATATTGTTATAAAACATTGCACCTCGAGACACAAAAAATTAAATTAAAATGAAATTTGCTCTATGTTCGAAACAACTACCTGTAAATTTTCAGATGTTGCAGATAGATCATTTAGTGCTCGAGCAATGGCAGTTTCAAAGTCTGTACTCGCACTGTCTTTATCAGTATTATCTTCATCCGATAGTACGCTAGCAAATGTTTGAGCCACTAGTTTTTTAAAATCAGGTCCCAATTCGCAATCTCTTTCTAGTAGAAAATAATTCTAGAATAATATCTTCTTTCTTTATGCATTTTATGAATACCTACCATTTTTAATTAAATTTTGTAAATTCTCCTCAAAATGATCAGCAGCTTCTTCAATGAAGTCTGTAGTCCAACCACCATCTAATGCCTCAATGGTATCCTTATCTTTGGTGGATTCAACAGATTCTATTTTCTCATTTTCCACCTTGTCTAGTTTTTGTTCTTTATTAAAGTCTTTCAAAGCACCTGTAACATTATAATTACATTGAAAATGATAAGTGTTCATTATATTGTTTAATTTATTTTTTAATTTCATTTGCTTTTAAAAAAAAGAAAGTTCACATGAATTACATAATGAACAAATATTTCTGCAAATCATCGACGAATAATCATAAACAATGAAAATAAATATTCATTCTTATTTCTATAGTTTTATTTAAAAAATCACACGAAACTATTTTACTCGGTATCTCGATAGGAAAATAATATTTATATACACCACTATATATATAGATTTATGTTTGAGGTTATAGCTATTATAATACATTTGTTTAATAATATTTTGGCTAACAGACTAATTACTTACTGTCTAATAAATCACTTAATTCTTGATCTTCTACTTGATTTACAACTTTTTTTCCGTCGGCCATATCTATGTTTTCCTAACTCGATGTTGCTCGATGTGAATTCTTGAAGCAGAAAGATACTCGCATCTAAACGGTATTGCATTTGTCACAATTTGTCACCCTATACATATGCATGTATACACATGGATTACACTACAGTGTTAAGTATACTACCTACTTCCAGAAATGAATTTGTGCATTATTTGATGCGCTTAACAACATAATTATACTAAACTAAATAATACTATAATTATACTAAACAGTATTATAATCTATTTACGTTCTTACATTAATATTGTTACAAAACAAATGAGTAATATCAGTCGAAAGCAATAACAGAATTTTTAGTATAATAATAGCAACAAGATATTAATATTTACTTTATAATGAATAGTACATATCTGTATGTATTAATTTATTGTATAGTGCGCTACGTTTCACGTGTAAATAAATCTATATTTTTGGTAGGTACACCACACACGTTGACGTCGATCTGCGTCACGTGCGTGACTCAAGCTCTCGAGACGTTCAAGCCTTAAGAGGAAAAAAAATCGAGCGCCACGTGGAAAGTGTAATCAATTAACCACACACGTTCGTGTAGGTGTGTGTGTGTGTGTATGTAACCGGTTTTATTTTTCAAACTAATTCTATTTCGGTTAATTTATTCATTTGTAGCAAAGTAAGAAGTCTATTACAAATCATTACATTCGTTGATTTACAAATGAAAATGTACTGTACATATATATAGATACATCTCATACCTATATATATATATATATATGTATATACATACATATGTACTTACGATATAATAAACAAATGCTCCACAGGATTGTCTGGGTTTTCTTGTAGAGTGTTTTGGACGTAGGGTGTTACACTTACACGGTATTTCACTTAGCTTTATCACCTGAAATATTTCTCCTATGTACCTGTATTTAAAATTTCATAAAAATATTTCCTACAAATATTGCATAGTTTTGTAAGGACCAGGACATGTCGGGGAAGGAGCAGCATACAGTGGCATACAACTCGCGAGCCGCCATTTAAACAGCCCTGCCCTAGAATAATAAATTCTTCGAGGTCACTAAAAGTCGTAGAGACAATCGGATTATCTTCTATTCTTTCGATATAGTACAACTCTGACGTTTACCCCTTATTCTGATTCTACTACTGCTTTGACAGCTTAGTCTAAAGGCAGATCCAGACACGTACAACAGCGAGTACGACGAACATGCGCAGCTAAAATGCCTTATAACCCGGGCCTACTTCCTTGCATGTCGTCAATGAATTAAAATCGACCCTTTCAAGAGTGTTCTGTAATGCGCGTTGCTCGCGTATGCCCTGCCCGGCCACGGTCGTGATTTTTTTGTTATACAAGATTTTGGCTGCGAGCGTTCGTGCTCGCTGTTGAACGTGCTGGACCTGCCTTAACGTGTATGTATATATACATATATATATATACACGTTATGTCATTTGTGAAAAGTCCCAAATGTAAACGTTTAAATACTTTTGCTAGCCATGCATTCTGCACCAGCATTTATGGCAGATATGTGTAAAATATATTTGGGTTTATTTATTAACAATATCCTGTGGTGTACAAATTTAGTATACACAGGAGAACCTTATCAGCACTATCTCTCCTGACTTGTGTCTTGTTCGGGGAACACTCTTTTTAATAGCCGGTAACATATGTCTATCTGATCTGGATTCTCCTCCTGTTCTAAGTCTGGTATGCAACGTTCCAATGTCGATTGTAAACAAAGTTCTGATCGCCTGCATTCATTTAAGGCAGGATGAAAATCACTGTTAGTCAATCCATCAAGAATGTTCAATAACTGGTCTCTGAAATAATAAAGATCATATTATTTATTATTGCATTATATTAGGCTGATATTTTCGAACATATGTACATTAAATAGCAATTTAATTTTATAAGAAAATTTGTGCGGTATGATGTACCATATTTATTAACTGGATTGTACACTTTTCAAATGTCTTTCTTGAGGTCATACAAGATTCTTAGTTTTTATTTTTTTAAAAAACTAATGTAAGTAGCACTCTGATACAACGAAAATAAACGATGTTGCGATAATACCTAATTTCTGGAAGTAGATGATTTGTGGTTAATAATCCGGCTGCTTGTTCAACCACACCCATATTAACTAGCATGAGTTTCAAATTATTCATATTTTCCTGGCTACAAAGAGAACACAAGAGAAAGGCAGATTTGATTTGTAGCTTTTTCACTGAACTTTGCATGGCTCTCAAAAGTACAGAGTATCCATCATTTATGTCCATGTATTTCAAAGATACTGGATATTCACGAACTATACCTACATTTTTAGAGTTCACAATTTAGTTAAATATACAAGCAAATGCGATTCCTGTTCAAGTAAAAGATCTATACTTACAGGATACAGCGTACAAAGCTTTGACTCTGGCATTCTCTGATGGATCTGTGTCTACTATATTCAACAATATGGGAAATAAACCAGTTTCTAAAAATTTTTCTTGGCAAAAAGGATTATTTTGAGCTAATTCAGCTATTACTTCTGCTGCCCTCCATCTAATGCTGCTATGCAGAGAATTTAAACAGGGACCAAAGATTGAAAAGCCACCAATTTTATAAAAGTCATTTGCAATATCTATATTATCCACATAATCTGCTATTTTTTCCAAAGCAGCTTCTTGTTGTGATGTATCATCGTCTGGGCAAAGATTAACCACATTTGATAAAATTTTAATGCTCTTCTGTAATTCCTCTATAATGTTGCATGATAAAGAAGAAAGCGCCTCTTTTAAAAATCGTTGCCTCTGTAAATGTGTACGTGAATCACGAATGAGTAATTCATTGAAATTACATACTTAGATAGTATTTAAGTACTTATTTATATTACACCTACTTCTTCGTCTATTGGATTAAGCAGAGTATCATTGGCAGAATGTTGAGAATTAGTTGCTTCCATAGCATATCTCAACAATCCTTGCAAGTTTGTTGGCTGTCTGGGTTGGTTTGGTATTAATGTTAGTGGTTCCGATTCAACATTGTTTGTGTTCCGAGGTCCTTCGATCGACAATGGTCTCGCGCTGCTACTTGCGCGTGGTTGACCTTCTACTTTCCTTTCCCTGTCCAGACGCTGTGATCTATTTAAAATAATATTCAGCAACGATTAATGTAGAATTGATATTAAATGTGGGTAATTACGAAGTCGCTGATTTCAAACATCTTTCTCATACTTTTCCATTTTTTCTGTTATCTTTGTCGCGTGTGTTGCACCCATTAATCAAATAGACTTCAAATAGTATTCACCATTATGATTTCATACTATATACGTCTCTTACTTCCCAAATCAAGATGTTGATTAACGGCAACGACAAATGCGTTTTCGCAGTGAAAACAACGTTAAAAGCAGGTAAAAGAAAATTGGTTGGAGATGAAAGTTACTTCACAGATGCATGCGCATCCAGTATACTCTAATTGCTCTATATACAATACATATCATCATATACTCCATACAACATCACCACATACACGACCGCAACTGAACCCATGGACCTAGGAATTAAAAGACTGAGAGCGAGGTCCCATACCTAGGTCCACGACTGACCCATAAGACTGTAGTGCCCTCGCTTCGTGGTAAAGTTCGAAAGTACACTTGACGTCTATTAAGAGTGATTAAAAGATAGCCCCCACCACTGGAGTTTCGGACCTGTGTATACGACAAAGCATATATAATAGACTATGCGGTCTTACGATAGGTATGAAGTCGAGTCCGAAAGACAGAAGTATACAGTGCTGGAGTAGCTCCTCTCTTGCTCCATCTTACTCGCTTATCGCAGCGGGAGAGCTGAAAGGACGGCCATACGGGCCAGGTTCGGAAACTCCCGTGGTGGAGGTGATCTCTTATTAAAGAAACAAAGTGTACTTTCGAACTTTGCCACGAAGCGAGGGCACTACAATCTTTCAACAGTCATGGACCTAGGAATGGGATCTAGCGCTCCGTCTTCTAATTCTTATGTCCATGAGTTCAATCGCGGTCGTATACATCGTATACATTCCCTGTGGCGCAGCAGGTAGCAGCGCCCAGCGCCTATTTAGTTATGCACCCTCTTGACTTGCTCGTAGCAACACGGACCAATGAGAGATGTATCATTGTTGATCACGTGACATAACAAGTCGGTATATTTATCGATATTCGTTGTTTTGACTTGATCATGCTTTTAGATATTGTCAGATAGTGTCAAGTATTCTAAAACGTAAAGCAATCTGACGTACGAAACATGTCAAAAATAACTGGATACGATACACACGATGATGGACCAGGCTTCGTTGGAATAAGGTTTTGTCAAGAATGCAATAATATGCTCTATCCCAAAGAAGACAAAGAAAACAAAGTATTAATGTATGCTGTAAGTATTGCACTTCAGATTTGCTTCGTTTTCAGGATGTTTATAACTTTCGGTATTCATTTCAGTGTAGAAATTGTGATTTCAAGCAGTTAGCAGACAGTAATTGTATTTATGTCAACAAAATTATGCATGAAATTGAGTAAGTAACCTTAATATTAAATAGATTATTCTAATGAAATACATAAAAATGTAAGTTTGCAATGGTTTTACTGGTTGAACTGGCAATTTGTGGATTAAGAAATCTTTACTATTTGTAACAGACGAATTGTTGGGCATTTTCATCTTTTTTTTTGCAAATCAAAATATTAATTTTCACTTTACAATTTCAGTGAACTGACACACATTGTAGCAGATGTAATATCGGATCCCACTTTACCAAGAACTGAAGAACATCCATGTCCAAAGTGTAACCATAGAGAGGCTGTATTTTTTCAAGCACAGACCAGACGAGCAGAAGAAGAAATGAGGTTATATTATGTATGTACAAATCAACACTGTTCTCATCGATGGACCGAATAAAATAATTAAAACTGTTTAGACATTTTCACAATTTTATAAATTTTATTTACACTTACTGTAGTTTGTAAGAGAACAAATACTTAATAAAGACTACATGTTTTGAAAGTTTTACTTTAATTACTATGATATATTAGGAAATAGAACACACAATTATAAAACAAATTTCACACTACTTTTCCTTCTTCGATATTTAAAATTTTATTTCAAAACTATTACAGAAGTCACCGTTGTATTACCTAAGTGCTAAGTTCAGAATTATTCTTCGTTCCAAGCATATAATTGTAATTTAAGAAAAGCCTTTTGTTACTGTTTATGCCAAATGTTAATTTGGCATAAATTTCAGTAATTTCAAATACCAACAGGTAGAAGCATGGTAGGAGGTCCTTCTCATATATCAACTTTTTCCCCTAGCGAAAGACGAGTTTGCACGCGAGAGTACTAGAATCGGTTGTGGCAGCGCGTAGCTATATAACGCTGCCGCGGCAGCACAGTCGACAGACTCGTGTTCTGATTGATCGAGGTTTTTCGTTAATATCTCGTTAACAAAACCTAGGAGAACTTTTTCGCTAATTGCAAGGATAAAGTTGTTTGATATTACGCCAGGAATCACTCCTTTCAAGGCGTTAAACCTAGTTTTGGGACACCCTGTATATTATATATAAATAGTATGCGTATATACTTAATTTTGTTGGATAGACTCTACTTTAAGTTGGATGGACACTATTGGTTTATATCGGTTTAATTTTATTTCGTTAAGCCAATCACAATGCTCAGACAAAAGTAACTAACTAACCTAAATGTTCCATCGGCTTCAGAGGCAACTAAACGTTTTAATCGTTTTAATAGTAGATTCACTTCGTACAGTTACATATTTATAGATACTTAAATATTCAAACGAACGTTCTTGCAAACCGATTCAAATGGAGAATGAGAAGATTTGCAGGTTTGAAACAGAAACGTTTAAAGCGCACTATATACGAAAAATGCATTTTCTACTGTATAATCCTTATTTCAATCATGTTTACTTGTCTATTGTTGACTCCTTTAAAATACAAGTAGATATACATGTATAAAAGAGTAACTATTTATAGTTTATAATTTATTTTGTGTTACAATGTTTGGCGCGTTTTCATGAACTAGCTCATATCTCCGTATATATATAGAGTTTTATTAAAAACTGTTGAATTGTTTTTGGTAAATTCTATTAAATTGTCTGTGATGTTTTTATTATTTGAATCAAATACAGTTGCCCAGAGCATGGATTTATTTTATTATTAGAAAAGCCTGTTAATATTTTTAATAAAATGCAGAGAATCCTTTCTAGAAATCTGATACAGAATATGGACGTATACCATAGACATTATTGGTAGCTGTTTAATCGACTTTTTAGAATATTTTCAAAAGAAGTAATCGAAAGTGTGCTGATTTGTGTTTAGAATGGAGAAAAATGGACACGCATACATATTCATGTATACGTACACGGTTGTTTGTAACATATGGTCATTAAGTAGAACGGTTTGATGTGCGTGGGGCCTGTCGGGAGTTTAACGTTCGTAAGAGTTTTCAGGAAAGACAAGAGGTGCGCTAGTGTTCCACTAAGCTACCCCCAGCCTTACTACCCCCACCCTTCTGTTCGAGCTCCCCTAGCTAGTGCAAATCTCGGCGGATGAATGTTTTCTTAAGGGATTCTTCCCGAAACCGACGCGAAAATCTGAGAGGAGTCGACAAGGCTGAAAATTCGTGAGTAAAACCATTTATCCTAAAATTCGTTCTATTTTTTTGTTCCCGGAATCTTGAAGTTTGTAGGATTCCGATTCGTAAACTAAGAAGAAAGACTAAACTTGTGTTCAAGGCGTTCCTGGGGGGTGATGGCACTCACGCCGACAGCGTCTCCCACAAAGATTTCACCATTTTTCTATTCGTAACTAAATGTACATTTCTCCGTTTACATCGTATATTTTTTGGTTAACCTGTCGGCTAGTACGCTTTGAACACGTGATTATGATAAACGCCGCGTAACTGGAGTTTGTATTTGAACTTTTTTTTTTCAAAGAATTTGCTTAAACATTATCGACGACAGATTTGTTTTGTTACATGTTTTCTCTGAGATAATGCTACGAATTTCTACTCAAGTCCTTTTCACGTTAAGTCTTTATTGTAACCGCACTTAACTGCGATGAATTACCAATTTCTGTATTCCATCGAGGTAGTTCTTTAATATTTCATACGCGCGGTATGTTCTATTCATACTCGATGATATACCGTTAACATAAAATTTTCTTAGCCATCTTGCACGTTATTTTAACGAAAATTATTTAAACAGAATAGTTACATGCTTCGTTAATTTAATTCCATATTTTTTTATTAATTAATTTGTACCTTCTGTCGTATAATGCATTTCTTTCAGTTTATTTTCTTTTTTTTTTATTCCTGATACGTTCTATCTATTCTGAAAAAATGTCTACTCCTTCAAAATAGAAAAGAAAATCTATGGTATATCAGTTCATAAAATTCATCGAGTTTAAATATATCCAGGTACCTTTATCAGATTTGGAACATTTAATATTTGCTTTTGACAAAACCAAATACAACCTTAATCTAACATTTTAAGCATGGATAAAGTATTTTATGGAAATGTATTTTGAAACGGAGCATTCATTGACAATGTTGAAATTAGAAATAAGAAGCTATGAAAGTATATAGCGCTTAGTAGAATAGTGGACTAAACAAGGGATAAAAAATTGTATTTTATTTATGGTCCAGTGATTTTAGTATGTTTTTGGTTATTTCGTATGGAAAGTTGTGCCTGATACAATGAATTTAAGAAGTAATGTCTAAAATATGTCGCAGAAGTGAGATTTAAATTTTACCGTAGCAATTTTACTTTTGGATAATTTGTCATAAAAAACAGTTTTGACCGGTGATTTTTTTGACAGGAAGATTGTTCTAAGAAGGTACCATTATGGAGAGCGGAAGTATCTTGAATTCTCCGGGTAGTTACCCTGGAGGAGACCGTCAGCAGTTTTGTGTTTCCTGGAATTCTCATCAGTCGAATATGCACAGCGCGTTTCCTAAACTGTTAAGTTCTGAACAATTTGTCGATGTCACTTTGGCCTGTGATGGAGGGTCCATAAAGTGTCACAAAGTGGTATTGTCAGCTTGTAGCGATTATTTGGAACGTTTATTATTAGAAATACCATGCACCCATCCTATTATCTTTTTGAGAGACATGAGAATGTGGGAACTTCAAGCTTTGGTGGAATTTATGTATCGTGGTGAAGTATACGTGGAGCAACAGCAGCTAGCTAAATTAATGCAGGCTGCTGAAGTACTACAGGTAATAAGGAAATGATTTACAAGTTAACTACAATGATTTACAGAGCAAATTGATTTACCAGTTAACTGCAATGAGTATAATTTCAATCTGTTCTCACAACAATATACTGATTCCTAGATTCGTGGTCTGTCCACCCAAGGAAGTGATAATACTTTGAATGAAACCAATTCGCAACAATGCGACTCTAACACTCCTGTTGTTCCATCTACACCCACACAGCAGGATGGTTCTAATTTTAAAGTGGAGGAAACTCAGTCCGACGATGGAGCTTCAAATACTAATTTTCTCGAGACAACGGCGGTTGCTGCGCCCAGTACAGCGAATGCTCCATCACACTGCAGTAGTACTCCAGTTTCGCAAAATCCGAATACGTCGAACTTCATGAATATGGAGCACAGCGAAGCGCTGCAGCATTTGGAAAAAGCTTTGAGCGCTTGCGAAGCGACTCTAACTGAAACCCAGGGGATGGTGAAGATGGAACCAGACGAGCAGTTCACTCAGCAACAGGATATAAAACCGTACTCCATCAGTATGGTACCGAGCAGTAATTGTAATCCTAGCAGTCCGTTTCCCGCGATCGAAGGTGAGAAACAAATCGGATGAAAAATAAAATGAAATCGGTTTTCCTTTAGTTTAAATACGCATGTCCTTTAGACGTGAATTACTTGGCAATTCAATTAAAGATCGGGGAACACCGAAATAAGTACGACCGGAATTGAGTTGGAAGAGTTAAGAGACGAAGAAACGACAGGGAAGATGAAAGGAACCGTTTTTTATTTCAAGATCGTATGTTTTACTTGCAGGTTACCAGAGACGACAAAGACGTTCGGAAGAAGAACTGAAACAAGCTTCGGATATGGTGGCGCGTGGTATGACGTTTCAGGTTGCTTCGGAAAAGTACAAAATTCCGATAAGTACGATTCGATTCTACATGGTTAGAAAAGGTATATTGCAAAGGCGAAAACGCGGTCGCGGTTCAAGTAATCTTGGCATGAATAGTCAGCCAGGAAGTCCGGCGAGTCCGCCATATCATATGATGAATTATCGTTTGCCAGAGAGCCTAAACTCCAGCCTACCGTAGTGCTATAACAGATGTAGCGAGTTTTTAGACTTGAGTTGAATCGAACAAATTTTTTATTGCCGTATCAGAGCTGTTCCAGACTGTCACTCTTCCCATGCTTATCGACTCACACTGAGTTATCCGTTTTTGCTCGATCATTCAGGACTCGCGATCAGGCATATCTATCGCGAGTGCGTTTTCGCCGAATTACTCTATTCTACATACATTTATTGCATTTACAGAATATAGTAATTTAATAGAGAATAATTGACAATGTGTACGTGTCGTACACGATAGGCACGATTTTAGTCTCGAACAGCTCAACTTCGTGTACATAAGCGCCATACGCGAGCTTTCGGACGCAGCATCAAGACGAAGGAAGAATAACGGAAAATAAAAATAAAGAAACTTTTCGCCGCGATGTTTTCCAAATTTTTCGATAATCAAATTTTTTTTCTAACATGACGTCGTTATTTGATCTGATTGAGTCTTTTCTGTTGACTTCCGTTCTATTTCTTTTTCCTGTCGCGTTAGAAGCAAGCAGAGGGAATATGACATGTGTCGATGCAGCGCTCGAAGGCCACTCGTACGGTTCAGTTTTGGGCCGTGTTCCGTTCTTCTACTTAGTGACACATACACTTTGCGTACATGGATAGCGTAAGAGGTATTTTTTTGAGTCCTATACACAGATTGCTACAACAGGTTTACATAACACGGTTCATAGAAAAGAATGAAGGCGTCACGCGAAGCATATTTTTACGATCGCTCGAGAATCTTTTGATAATACGTATCCGTAGGGTAGGTTCTTTTTTATTACGTATTTATATACACAAGAATACACACACGCACACACAGACACACAGACGCACACACACACCTCACCTCACCTCACCTCACCTCACCTCACCTCACCTCACCTCACCTCACCTCACCACGCCACACCACACCACACCACACCTTACCACACCTCATATCATCTCATCTCATCTCATCTCATCTCATCTCATCTCATCTCATCTCATACACACGCGCATGCACGTACGCACGCATAAGCTTGCTGCTCGGAGATGCGTGTAGACACAAACACATCGGTAATACGTACGAATTGAATTTGGTTGTTTAAATAAAGTCGTGATATCATTCACAATCGATACGAGATTGTAAGCATTAAAGTTTCATGGTTTTTTATAACATCGAGCAGAATTGATGTTACGTTTGCGCGAGGTATTATTTGCTTTCATTTGACGCGAAATCAAATGGGATGATAGAATTCAAATTCGCGGTTTGAACGCTTATTGTAATAAATATGGCGAGATTGTAGGTTTTCTCCATGAACGAATATTAGTCACTACGTTCAAGACTGGTAATATGTGGCTGATTCGCAGTCACGTCAAATCATATTATACTGCAAATTTGAATTTATTGCATTGATATTTTTCTAGACACCTTGTTGCGGTAGATGTCTTGTTTCTGCCTTGATGCACGCGCTCGCGATTAAACGTATTTACTGATGTATGTGTGTAATGAAATGCTCCTATCGTACATACATACATACATAATAAACACACATATACACACTTGCTACGTGCGCACGCGAGCGCGTACAAATCCATGAATATGAAGTTATCGACAAGGGGCTCCTGTAATTGGTGGCACAAGCGCAAAGGTGACGATTCTATGTGATCAAATAAGTCGAAAATACAGAATAAAATTTTGTTGTATATTCGTTTTCGAGATAATTCAGTTTATATTTTGTCGAGTACGTTTGCACTGAAGTCCCGTTTTAGGTGTCTGCGAAGTACAGTGATACAACGGGTGCACTGGTTCACATAGGTGGAGACTGGAGACACATTTTGATGATAAGTCACATGCATTAGTGTGACCTAATACACATACTCATTTTCCTAGGTTAAAGTTTGAATAAATAAACTGAGGAACCGAGAAGAAGACAGACGGAATACGGGTTTTAATTATTTAAAATCTTCATCTATGACAACTATTTCAGTATTAAGTTTTATGTTGAATCGTGTCTCTGCCTACGTTGACCCGACAAACGTTGCTTTTGTCTCGCTACCCCTCACGGGTATGAAATACAGTATTCAGTACAGACGTACTTGATCAAAATTCAAGCACAAGTATCTCGAAAACAAAGCAAAGTATGAACAGTTTTGTTATATGTTTTCAATTTATTTTTCTTCATATAGAGTTACGATTTTGGTGCTTATATCAGCATTTACGGAACATTTTGTGTGTATACATCGCGCCCTTGCGCTCACACACCGTACATACGTGGGATACACACACACACAACACATATACAGAGAAGGAGCGCGCGCGCGCGCGGGTGTGTGTGTGTGTGTGTGTGTGTGAGAGAGAGAGAGAGAGATACACGTACGTACGCACGTATGTACACTATTGTACACACGTATTATATGAATATGTATATATTGGTGACTCGATGCTCGGTACTTGATACTCAGAGATGGTACTTGTTCAAAAAGTTTACAGTTTAGCTTCTCCAAAAAGGTCTCTGGAAACGAACGATCATGAAGTATGTAGCGGAATGCTTTTTGCATACTAGTGTACAAGGACACGCTTATAATCGATCGTCAAAATCCACCAGTTTTCATAAAAGCGACCAAATACGGCTTCTTCGATCGTTTTATGAATCCTGGATTTGCCTTTTCGAAAGATTATATGATTATATATTGAGATCCGTGACGCATTTGTGTCATCTTCTATGCGTCTATATACACAATACACATGTATATATTTGAGCGCGCGCAGGACACGATACGTGCACCATTATTCACGTGCACGCATTACACAAAAAAACCACACACGACAAACATACACACACACACATCACATACACCGCACCCGGTATACAAGCACAGTTCGCATAAAGTGTCTTTTAGAGAATCGTGTTTTTACCAGAGCCACGTTCCAAACTGCTGTGGTAGAGATTAAGGACTGTTACGAACCATCCTCTCGCAATCAGTAACAACACGAATCATTAATAGGCATTTTACGTACATGTATACAAAAAACACACGCAACATCTCATCACAAATGTAATGTAATCGTACAGTGTATTGCCTTTGTTAAATAACTTTCGGATAAAGCCATATTTTTCCATGCAATGCAATAATCCAGCAAAATAAATTACCGTAAATGTGGAACAGCCTAAAATAGGAGAGTGCCAGATAAAAAAAAGAAAAAGGGAAATGGGAAAAGAAAAAAGGAGGGAAAACAGAGAATGAGGAGTACGAGGATGATGATGAGGAAAGGAAAGGAATAGAAAGATGATTATGAAGAGAAAAAGAAAAAAAAAGATGAAGAGCGTGGTCGATGTAAAGCGTTGTATAGACGATTTCCTACCATGTAGAACGTATTTGCCTTTTATTCTGGCCTCGTGATAAATCCTGACTTTATTTATACTCGACAATATACTAAATACCGTGTAAAAGAATGACTAAATTAGGTTAGGAAACTTGATGAACCAGTGATTTCTCGTGGTATGCAGCGAGTCCTAAAATTCCACCTCGTCTGCGTAAATTCGTGCGAGTTCAAACCTGGGGAAAAAGCTTTGCGAGCATATCTAAATAACGTCTGTTTTTTCTCACATGTTCCGTCGTCGTATCTTCTTTCCCGTTTTTCTCCATTCACTTCGGACCCGATATGCATACATACATATACGTATATGCATATGTATATGTATGTATGTATCAGCGTTTCTCTTAAAATTTGTTCTGTGTTGACCATCTGTCCTGCTTCTTCGTTGCTCTTCTTTCCAATCTTTCTTGGTTCTCGCATCCATCATTTTGGCAACGAGACGATGCGTTGGAAGAGGAGAAACGAAATGAATCCGGGCTTCTAGTTGCGATCCTGATCCAGCGACCGGAATAACGAATACGCGACGAGGTAGTTGTTTTTACCGGTGAACGGCATTGTTGCTTAAAAGTTCGTATCGCGTGAATCATCGTTCAAAAAGTTCCAGTTGACAAAGGTTTTATACAGATCTATTAAAAAACCAGTATTTCAAACCAATGAAGAATAATTAGTTTTCTAATAATACCAGTACATTTTATGTGAACTTAGAACAGTGCTTAAGTCAGTAATGCTCAGCGTATGTAACAAATATTTTTAGTGGAAATCCGTGTCATACTCACGTGAATTATAATGCCCTTAAAATATGTAACTAAACAACAATCAAAGAAGCATGGACGATACTTGACGACTAATTATTACTATAGACGTTTTCTTAGAAATACATAGATCGTAGCCATTTTGAGGCACTTTATGTTATATTTAATTAGGTTATCGCTTCGGATTACACTTTTAAGGCGGTATTATTATTTGTAGATAGAATTTGCGATTATACTTATTACGATGATCGATCGATCACTATTAATTAATATTTTTTTTTACAGTTACCGAGATCAATGTCCTGCGAACGACAGGGTCCTCGATCGATCGGTCTTTCCATTTTTCCACTCTGCGATGTGGTCTTTTTCCCCTTTGTTACTCTTTCTAATTTTTTTTATATATCCAGTTCGAGTTTATGAAACAAAAGAATTTTACTTGAACGCATTCGGATCGCTAGTCCGATATATCATGTTTGGCTTCTGCATGATGCAAAGATGCGTGCGTGAATTCCGTGTGCGTGCGTGAAGATTGTATGATGCAAGGATGAAAAAAAGGACGGGAGGAGCAGAAGGATAATGAAGAGAGAGAGAGAGAGTGTGCGCGTGTGTGTGAGTGAGAGAATTTTTTGCAGAATTGATTCACACTTTTCGACGCTTCAAGTCGAACTTCCTATTTCGATGTATTCGACCGATCGATTGGTTCCTTGCTCGAATCAGAATCGTGAAGAACGTTCTATAGATATTTTTTGACGAAATCACAAATCCATAAAAAGTCCAATTTTCTAAACGTAGGTTCCTTAAGGACTTAATAAATTGAGCGTAGCCGTTAAGACACGTCGTGTGTAATAGTGAACTGCTGCGCATATCTATATGTAATATCGCGTCGAGCGAGTTTGCTTTTGAACGCACTCGTTCGGGTCGAAAGCGTGAAAAACGCGCGCCGCCGCAGCTTTTTTTTCCATTCGAACGACGCAACGGCATCGTTCGACGCGATACACGTGGGAGATACACGCACGATCGAAACGTGTCTATGCGTCGCAAATAGATGGATAAACTAGCGATTAGCGGCAAAAACATAGGTAAATAATATGTCGCGCGAAGCCCTGCGTATTGTTTTTTAGTTTGGTCGCGTGTCGCGAATGCGCGTTGATCGCGATGATAATCGCTGAGAGCCGTATCACTGATCGAAAAAGGAAAGAAAAAGAAGAATGTATTGATTTGTATTTCTTTTTCTTTATCTTTATCCTTATCTTTTGCTTATACATTTGTATCGCGACCCATAAAGAAAGAAAGACGTACGCAGAATGTCTAGGAAGGTATAGGTAAAGGCAGCCGGCGATCGTTCCAGCGATTACTTATCAGATTTCGATAGTATGCTTGCGATCATACAGTGTTACAGCCTGAATGTCGATCGATTTTCTTGGGCGAGATAATTCGGTGATCGGCAACGGCAACGGCAACGGCAACGGCAACGGCAACGGCAACGGCAACGGCAACGGCAACGGCAACGGTAACGGCAACAGCCAACAGCCAACAGCCAGCAGCAGCAGCAGCAGCTGTTACGTCATAGAAACAATAACGCGTTCGAAGTATCGAATCGTAAGATACATGCACTTCTGTACAGAATTTTTCGTAGGTTACGAATGTTTCCATGGGAAAATCAGCACTTGTCGGCTTCGTGAAATTAAAGTATTGTTGTTTGATTTACATGTAAGCAGTACGTTAAGGAAAAAAAAAATTGCTTATAATTTTAGGGTCGTGTAACGTGTGTTAGCGAAGCATGCTTCTAAGTAGAAAGATAGGACAATGCTATAACAATAATTATTATAATTAAAGTGAGTTAAGAGCATAAGGCATTTAATAAGTGCAAAGTATTTCTTAATAAAAGTACTTCCAAAAACAATAACGTGTACAAATGTCTCCAAGAATCATTACATTCGTCGGAAGGTAAGTTTGTAAAATTGCGGTAAATAATAACACTATTCCTATGTACATATACAGGGTGTTCTGCTACTTAAAACAGGCCATCTAAATATCTTCCCTATCTGAAATCATACGAGAAATATTTTTTACATAATTTATATGGTTTTAAGAGACTAATCGGATAGCGGTAAAAATTTGTTACAAGTCATTTTTTAATGGGATTTTCAAGGTCACCCATGTTTGTTTACGTACATGTACGTAATTTTTCCTGTTATATAATCTAGCCAACATTATTATGCATTTATCCATTTATAATAGTATATCCTTCAAATGACCTTGAACTCTAAAAATTTTAAATTCGGTAAAAAATATTTCTCACATGATCACATGTATGTATACACATGTAATATGTGTAATGTACACATGTACATATATGTATGCATGAGATAGGTAGTCGGTCAATTTGCATTTTTAGACCCTTGAATTGGGTTCGATTTTACGAGGGAAGCAAGTGTTCGTTCTTTGATCGTGACTACCTTGATCTTACTGTTATGATGCTCGGGGTAATACATCCAGGGAAGATGTTTTATTTTTGACCAACAATATATATATATCTTTTTAACAAAACAACTTTGGATCCTTTTAAACTTTTTCACATTTGCAGTTTCCATTTATAGGCATTTTCTTTATTTCTTCTCTGAATTGATCAAAATATGTAGATTGCTGCTGCTAGTCTACAATGGATAAATGAAATGCGTGTGAAAATAAAGAGTAGATATTTTCAATTCATCTTACGAAAGGTGGAAATGTTTGGCGGTTTCTCTCCGAATCCAATGATCCCGATTTGTCGTGTGTTTCGCGGAATAAGTAAACACAAATAACGAAATCCGTGAATTTTCAAAAAAGAGGGCGAATCGAAGAACGGAAACGAGAAGAATCATCCTCATTCGTTAAATACTGCAAATGGAATTGAAGATTGGGCAAAAGAGATGAAGAAAATGATGTCGATCATGAGATACATACATAAATGTGGGTACACGCAGATTTATCATTGTTTCAAGCGTGAAACGAATCGATCGGGGAACCGACATTGTCCGCGTGAACTCCTCGATCATTCGCCGTTCGAGCGGTGTTTCAGTGTTTTCATACATATTTAGAGACACGGTAGATTCGATGAAGAGAAAGAAAGTTAGTACCTACGTAGAATTTGGAGGGAAACTGTACCGTCGTTTGAAATGGTGATTGGTGATGGTGATGGTGGTGACAATGACACAAAAAGTACTCGCTTCGAAACGAAAATTGCGCAGTTGTCGCGCGAGCGAATGATTTTCTGCGCACGCTCTCGCGCCGTTCCCTTTGTGTTATTTTCGGGCGGAATTACCGTTCGAAGCTTTAAATAGGACCGACTTTCCGACGAGGAAGACAGTTTGTAACACAACCGGTTCTATATGCTGGAACATCGCAGATTATTTGCTGTGAGTAAACAACGATGAGTGGTGTACGCGTCGAGAAACGTCAAGCATCGTCGTTTACTGGTATATGTATAGTATATACATACTCAAAATCGCGAACAACCGTGAAAAGTTTCCTAAGCGAAATTCTTGTTTGAAAAGAGTCTGTGTCGTCGCGTTGTTTTCTCTGTTTAACGATGTTTTTGTGCAAAGCGTTATCGATGCGTACAGACACATGCACGAAACAAAACGAAACGAAACGAAACGAAACGAAACGAAACGAAACGAAACGAAACGAAACGAAACGAAACGGAACGGAATGGACTATGTCTACGAGAACGAGAACGAGAACGAGAACGAGAACGGGAATGGGAATAAGAATATGGCTATGGTTGCGAGATAATTCGGAACGTATCGGAAATAGGATGATCGAGTCGGATGTATTGTAAATACTAACACGAACACGGTCGATCGAATGGAAAAACGGAATTGCTGTATGTTAACAGAGGAAAAATTTGTTGCGAATGTAGACAGGCGATTGCGTTGGTCCCGATCGGTTCGTATGATTCCGATATCATCGCTAAAATTGTATCGCTACCTTGGCAGGCTTTCGACGTTCGAATCGAGATCTCGATTGTTTGGCGGTCGAACGTATAACGTGTATGCGATGCGCGCGACAGTCGAACGATTCGGCCCCGCGTCAATTACAAAAATTAAACGTGGATTTAACATAAACGCCCCGACGTTTCACCGAATTGCTTAATTAATTAAGGAAACGGCGTCGGCGGCGGCGGCGGCGGCGGCGGTGGCGGTGGAGGCGGCGGAATGGGAGTGAAACGGTTCGGGAGCTGGTCTGGGTTAGCTAAATGGGCGAAAATGTAGGACCACGGACGGAATCACGGCAACTGAAGTACGAATGTAGAAGACGAACGAATAATTAACAGTATTTGTTCTTCCTTTTTCGTTTTCGTTTTCGGTTTCGACATTTAGATGCCGTCCGAGTGCATCGCCAGCCCGTTGCAACGAGAATTAGCCGATACTATAATACGTATACAACCGCTCGATGAAATTCGAATTCTGCTGGCATGCGGGGCAAAGGCGAACGAGCCCGTTACTCAGGGTCTGAGGCCGTTGCATTACGCGGTGTGGCAGAGATACACGGAAGCGGCTCAACTGTTGTTGGTGCGCGGCGCCGACATCGACGCGACCGACGAATGTGGATATTCGGCGTTGCATCTCGCCGCCGAGCATGGTTACGTAGAGTTGGTCAAGTTGTTGCTCGAGCACGGTGCCAAAGTCGACCATCGACAGGATACCGGAGAACTTTTTCCGAGGTACGATCGCGTTCTTATCGTTGCGAATAATTTTCAATCATTTCGTTGTTGTTGCTACGCCCCTACTGTGTATGTACCTACTGTTTCTGGTTGACCAACAGGAACACAGAGATACACATATGTATATGTAGTAGTAGAGTATACTGAGAGAATTCCTCCGTTATTCCGCCTTGTCCGGGATTGTTGTTCTTCTCTTTCGTTCGTTCGTTCGTTCGTTCGTTCGTTCGTTCGTTCGTTCGTTCGTTCGTTCGTTCGTTCGTTCGTTCGTTCGTTCGTTCATCGGCCCTTGATTGGCATCGACGACGATACCGTCGATCGTTAGACTTTTGAGAACGTCGAACGCGCGCCAAGGATTTTCCGGTGCTATAAATTACTCCCGTGTGCGTAATCACAGCTTTATAATGGATCAGCAATTATTTTTCTTTCAATTACATGTACTTATTTATTATGGATCACGTGAAAGCGAGTGTGGTTTGCCGTGTTGGTGAACCTAGAACTGTCTCCTGTCTCCTCGTCTCGCTTGAACGAGAGGGTCGAAGGGAAATAACGATTAATTATCCATACGTCTACACATAGGACAACTTTGTGCGACGAACCGTTGCGTCTCGCTTTGAGAAATCGGCACGTCGACGTCGCTAGAATTTTGCTGGAAGCTGGCGCGAATCCAAACAAGAGATACTTCTTCGGATCGGAAATTAATTTGGTTTCTCCATTGGATTTACAATGTATGGAACTATTGTTGGCGTTCGGAGCCCAACCGAATACGAGGGATCGTGCAGGACTTACGCCGCTGATGAAAGCTGCGCGGTTGCCTCAGGTAAATTGCACTTGGAAGTTTGCGACAGTTGCACGAGGATGGTTGTTCGTCGTGTTCGTCGTGTTCGTCGTGTTGTCCCGCGCGTTTGCTGACACCGATCAAACGAAAGCGACGATAATCAAAAAATCTAAACTAAGTTAAGAACATTTCTTAGGGTATAGCTTCGGTGCTGCTTTTGCTGAGCTATGGAGCGGACGTTAATTCGATGGCTGACGCGAGACACGACTACCGAACGGTTCTGCACTACGCGATCCTCGGCGGTGACCCAACCGTGATTGAACTACTTTTAAAGCAGGGTGCTCCTCTCGATCTCGGACCCGAGTATCAAAAACCCACGGCTCTCGACTTGGCGATTTTGAAGGGGGATCCCTCTATCGTCCGAATGTTGTTGCAGTCGGGTGAGTTTGCAGGAACTATCGAAATTCCGTATCCTTCTTGAAATGATCGATCTTGTTTGGAACCTGAGATGATCCGACCGTTGCGCGCGTCTGCTGTGGAGCAACGACCGCGACTACTTTTCGCAGCAGTTCTTTGAACGAAACACTCCCGATCTTTGTTTGTCGTTCGGTCGCTCGAGAACAACCCTCTCCTCACGGTCGTTGCTCGTTCACAGACGGTTCGACGGGACACGCGAATTATCAACAATTTTCTTATATCGAGCATTTTCGATCGGCAATTTGAAAAATTTAGGCGCCGACGTGAACGCGACATCGCCGATCATCGGATCTCCCCTTCACGTTGCTTGCGCGGACAACATTCCGAACAGACTGGAGATCTTGTCGATGCTGCTGGAACGAGGTGCGGATCCAAATTTGGTGATACGCAGCGACGAAGGACCGTCGTTACGGCCGGTTCTCGCAGAGTATGTGGCTTCGAACGAGAATCCATCGGTCGAAGTGGTGGCTCTTCTGCTGAAATACGGTGCACGAGTTGTAATTAAGACGCAGTTTCGCGATCCACATGGTATATTGAACTCTCTTCAAAATACGGCTGATAAGCCGCGGCTGCTTAAAGCGTTATTGGAGGCTGCGGAAAGTTTCGATCCTTGCATGATACGAAGGTCGAGCAGTCTGACAGACGCGCAGAAAGCGATTGTGATGGAAGCGGCGCGAACTCCGTTGCCTTTGACTCATCAGGCTAGACTGATAGTACGGAAGCTATGTGGCACCAAATTGCCGAAAATCGTCCGCAATCTTCAATTACCGCAATCGCTGCATCGTTACCTTCTGTACGATTTTCATTAAACTCGGTTTCATCGGCCTGTCCATGAGAGTACGAGAGAGGGCAGAGGCGGTACGACGAACCAATTCTTTTCTTACTCTTGCCGAATAATCCCGAGTAACCCTAAAACCACCGAAATTCCCTCTCAGATGCAACCAAAACGAGTCTTCAGGTGAATCTTACGAAAACTTTTCCAATTCACGTATTCACGAAGTTATGCTCGCGAGTATTGCATTGTCGTTCGTCGCGTTACCGTCCCCACCTTTTTATTTTTACTTGCTTTACTTCAAACGACGGTTCTCTATATCTCGGTCAACTTATCAACCATGTGCTTTTGTACCTATATCTAGTATCAATTTATTTAACAAATTCTCCCATATGCAGATACATACGTGAATTCACAGACACGTACGTGCATACATACATACATATGTAAGTACATATTTTTGTCGCGCGGTATATATGTATGATTTCTAATTTACAAACCGTGTTAACAATCCGAACAAAATAAACGGAGAATTGTAAACCAACGAAAACGTATAATTTACATAAATAGTTTCATTTTCGAATTTCTTTCCCCCTTCTTTTCCCTCTACTTCAGTATTTCCCCTTCACGAGTACCCAGGTACTTTACTCCAATATGTACATATACATAATCGTTTACGACACGCACTCTTGCCCATTTAAAACCTCCAGTTGTCCAGTCCTCCAGATTTGGTCGGTAACCCCATGCGCATGGATACGCATATGTACATATGCGTATGTATACAAGTGGATGCAGAATATGTAGTTTGCCTGCGACCGGAAACAAGAACAACGGAAGCACACCGGTGAATCGCTTTAGGTTGTCCAGTTTCGGTACTTTTCAAACGTAACTACATACACTGCAGCTCATGGTACGAACTACAAAACAACATTACGAAATGCGAAGACGGGTACGCCATAGGGCGGAGATTAAAGCTGTGCCAACGCAACTAATAGTATTCCACAGTTATGTACTATATTCTTCAATCACAAGAACACTGTGAATCAAATTGGCTGTATCTGACCTGACTGGATATGGACTGATCTTTAAATACATTGGTAATCAAAATAGTGTTGTCCATCACCTTCACGGCAAACCAAAGGCCACTAGCCGTAATCATATAATTATTAATAATTACGATAGATTCTCATTCGTTGATGTGTTTTTTTCTTAGTTATTGGTCATCTATTAGTGAACGTTTTACATTCCAATGATTTTGTTTTCTTTTAGGAAAGGGGAATAAAATAAAGTTCAAATCTTTAAACGTTTCTAATGAAATATTGATTAATTCTTAGTTTTTAAGTGTGTCTATTAAAAGGATTTCTAACTAATTTCAAAGCCTTTCCAACTTACATCAACTTCACTTTTACTTCCCTTTCCTATTACATTTTGTTGTATGATTCAAACTTCGCGCCACTATGCGATAAAGGCAAATATCGCAACATTATATGTATTGTATTTATTGTAAATAAACCTTAGACTATTCACCGAGCCTATGGTGAATACCTATTTAGAAATTATTAAATGTTACTGCCAACGTTGCCTACGCGCAGTGACAACTACAAATATAATAAGACTACGGATGTCATATTGTGTCGAGGGTAGAGATGGCGTGCAAAATCACTAACGGTGATTTATCACAGTGATCGCCGAATCACGATCACGATCGTGATTTAACTTCATTCACGACCGTGATTGCGATTTTTTTATCTTGAGTGAATTTGCTCGCTTCAATCGTAAGTCATTAATCTTTAAACAGAAAAACGTATTCAATATGATTTTACGATGAATTACATTACTGTGTTTGTAAAAATCAGTAGAAAAAACAAGAAATTCTAAAAGAATGTTTTGCTAGGTAACATGTAGATTATAATTTATAATCATTAATTTATTCATTATTCTTCATTGTTTCTAATTAATCTTTCACTTTATACGATATAACTCGAATTTTTGTTTTCATGTTGTTAATATAAAATATAAAATATACAGATTATGTGTCGCGTGTAAAGAACTGTTAGGTTTCTCCACCAATAAGAAACGATCACGGGAAATCACGAATCAATGTGAAAAATCATCGTGATGGGGAACGAACGTGATCGAATCACAAGTGATTCACAAGTAGCAGTTCGCGCCATCTCTAATCGAGGGCTTATGAATCTGTGCTGACCATGGAACTCTATACTACCTGGAATGCGCACGAGAGATATCATGAAAGTGGTATCTGCATCCTTTATTAATGTGGTACTACCCTGTTGTAAACTTAGGTCTAGCAGGTATAAGCATGTACTACCTTGAACTCATGCATACGACTCGACTTTAATACGTCATTTATGTAATAATTGCATGTAAAAAAAATGCCAGAATAATTAAATCTACTTCTGTTCTTCGGTCTTGACCGTCTCAATCCTCGACTTTATCCCTATATGTCTATGGTAGTGACACACCAAGTGTCACTAAATAAAATGGAAATGGGGTAACGTAACCCCAGAATACATTGGATGAAATGTGTCTACTCCTATACCACGTCTGTGGTCGGGGTTTTTCGTTAATATCTCGTTAACAAAGCGTTGGAGAACTTTTTCGCTTACGAAAAAGTTGTTTCATATCACCTCACGAAACACCACTTTCAAGGACTTACACCGATTTTGGGACACCTTTATATACTCAAGCTGACTCAAGCAATCACTAGTCACTGCTAGTCACAACATTCACTACTGGTCACTACTAGTTGGTAGTTGCCACTGGCAACTTGCCAGTAATTGCTAACAAAATAATAATAATAATAATAATAATAATAATAATAATCACAGCACAGTACTAAAAATAGTACGATACTATATAGGAAAGAGTAGAAGAGGTGTAAGAGAGATACGACATTGCGCTAGTATACATATATACATATATTAATTGGTAAAAACGCGTACTTCGGAGTTGGACGTAACAACTGGTAACAACGTCTGATCCGTCCATGATGACCGCCAGAGCGTTGATGTCCGTACTGCGACCGGGAAAAGGATTCCTTGGATCATGGAACGAGAAAGGACTTTGTGCTGCCGGCAGGATAGAAAATCCACTAAGCATCGGAAGGTGATATTAACGTAGCGAGTTTCGGAGATATCAAATGTAATTGCGCGGTGTAGATACTTGTTATGTAATCGTGTTTTAACCTAACGAGTGGGAACTTATCGAAGTATATCCCCCGAGTCTTTTGAGCAAATTTCTTTGACGTCTAGGGGAGATCATACGAAACAATCTCCGAAAGTAGTAAGGAACACCACTCTCTTTTGTTTTTGAGAAATTAGTTGTTAAAAGTGCGAAAATTTCAGTCTATGAGTGTCAACTCTGCGAATGAGTCTCTTGTCGGCAAAGCGGTGTAGCATAGGTGATAGAGTGTCGGACTACGAATACTTTCTTTTGAATTTGATCGGTTTCGAATCTTAGAGTAGCAATTTTCTTTTCTTTCTTTCTTTCCTTCTTTTTTTTTCGTCTTTTTGTTTTTTTTTTCATACTAATATTTCTCTAAGATATTATACTGTACTGTGATAAACATATCAGCAAACCACTAAACACCTTAAAAAAATTTGATCAAACAACTCGGAGTTCACTTTGTATGTTGCCCTCGTAAAAGAAACTTGTTTCCTCGACATAAATGATACCAAAAGTTACAGACAGCAGCGCAATGGGCATCAGTGGGTGCCGGATAGGGAATATATCATGCAATGGAACAAAGATGCAAAGGTATTTTATAATTTCCAACCAAATGACTGGAAACTTCCAACAACATACAGGGATGAAGAGATGGACACATCACAAATAAAAAACATGACTATTAATTTTGGACCGCAACATCCAGCTGCACATGGAGTTTTACGGTTAATTCTAGAGTTGAAGGGCGAATATGTTATCCGTGGTGATCCTCATATAGGTCTTCTGCATCGTGGCACAGAAAAACTGATCGAATACAAAACGTATATGCAAGCTCTACCTTACTTTGATCGTTTGGATTATGTCTCTATGATGTGTAACGAACAGTGTTTCTCCATGGCTATCGAGAAGTTGCTTAATATAGAAGTACCTTTACGAGCCAAGTACATCAGAAGTAAGAACATTTGCTATTTATCAATGATTTAGAGCGAATGTGGCTTTATGGTTCATCTGTAGTTCTGTAGGTACAAAGCTGTTTGTCTTTTTCAACTTGTATAGCTCTGTTCGCCGAGATCACAAGAATATTGAATCACATTATGGGGATTGGAACGCATGCGCTGGACATCGGTGCTCTTACGCCATTTTTTTGGTTGTTTGAAGAACGAGAAAAATTGATGGAGTTTTACGAACGAGTCAGCGGCGCACGTATGCATGCTGCATATATACGCCCTGGTGGTGTTTCTTTGGACATGCCGTTGGGCTTAATGGATGACATATACGAATGGGCATGTCAGTACGGGGAACGATTGGACGAAGTCGAGGACCTATTGACATCAAACAGAGTTTGGTATGGTCGTACAAGAAACATCGGAACAGTAACTGCAGAAGAAGCGCTGAATTGGGGTTTCAGCGGAGTAATGTTACGCGGTTCGGGAATCAAATGGGATTTAAGAAAAGTGGCTCCTTACGATGCATACGATCTTGTAGAGTTTGATGTTCCAATTGGTAAACACGGAGATTGTTACGACAGGTAGGTGTATCTATGCACATTGTTCTGGCTGTTTGCCGTTTGCGAGATATTTTATAATTCGTGGCATTAATTGTTGACAGGTATCTTTGTCGCATCGAGGAAATGCGTCAGTCTCTGCGAATTATTTATCAGTGTCTAAATCAGATGCCACCAGGTGAAGTAAGAATTGACGACGCGAAAATAGTGCCTCCAAGACGGGAGGAAATGAAGACTAGCATGGAGGCTCTGATTCACCATTTTAAACTGTATACGCAAGGTTTCCAAGTACCACCCGGGTCTACTTATACCGCGATCGAAGCGCCAAAGGGTGAATTTGGGGTGTATCTCGTAAGCGATGGTAGTAGCAAGCCTTATAAATGCAAAATCAAGGCTCCAGGATTTGCCCATTTAGCTGCGATGCGTTATATGAGTCCAGGCTGCTTGCTCGCCGATATTGTAGCAATTATTGGTACCCTGGACGTTGTATTCGGCGAAATCGACAGATAATCTGCCCTCGCCTCTCCTAAATACTTTCTGATCATGAGAAATAGTATCGTAGAATTTCACAAATTTGGCTCGTATTTATATGTAGCGGCGGGAGTATGGTTGCGGAAAAGAGAAAAATAAAGCGACTTGGTTACTCTGCCGTAAATGCTTTCCGTTCTTTTCCATTTTTGCCTGTGACCGCTCCATGAGCATGTCTGGTAGGAATCGTTCGATTCGTTGTGACAAGTGTTTGAGCACCAAAGTATGTACGTATGTACAGTTGTAAGATACATGTAAAGAGACCAAGTAATCGTACAAATATCATTTTCTTTTTCGATCTAATGAATATTTGATGGTATATCGCGTCGATTTGTTATTGATTAAATGATCATTTAAATGTAACGTTCAAAGTCGACTGTAAGTTTCCTTAGTGGAAGTTATTTTCTTCGAGAACATGGTAACTAAGATGAGTTGAAGTTAAAATTGAAGTTCACCCGTGGACTTTTGCTGTATGCTACCTCCACCCGACGGTTATCTCGGAAAGTCAATCTAAGAATAAAAGAGTGAGGGAAAGGTATTGAATTGGTAGTAGTCGGGGTACTCGTGGAGGATGAAATATGCCCTCCATCACACGCAACGTGACTCGTAACGATACGAGACTGTGTCCAAGGCCTAAACCCAGTTTTGAAAGAAAGTACAATATTTAATTTGAAATGTTAATGTCTGGTGGGGGAGGTAACGCTGGTCAGGTAATTGGTCCGAAACGATATTTCAGGCAACAGAGTTATCCGAATGACAGGTGAAATAGTGGTTTTTTCTCAGCGTCAGTAGTAATAACGAGAGTTTGCAGCGATAATGACAGTTTACGCGGATACAACGGGATTAAGTGTAGTTTCTTACGTAATATTTAAACAAACACGAGTATCCGAATAATAGAATGTTACCGTAATCAGATGTATGTACATAGGTCGTCCGAGTTGTCCGGAAACGTTGTTATGTCTCGTGAAATTACATGGATCAGGTTTCAATTAAAAGGTCAAGGGTCTCGTTATACTACGTAATACCGACGTGTCTTGTGCAAGGGCAACACATATTATTCGTTACACAAGTATTCACGGCGGTAATTATGAAAGTGGCTAGTTGGCATAAACGAGAGCGTCTTTTCGTACCGAAAGATACAGCGTTAATTAATAATATCGTTTGCGAAAACCTTACGTGTGTTATTTGTACCGACTTGTGTATCGAGTGGAAAATTACGTTAAATCGTTCACCGCATATCGTACACGCGGTTTTAGTTGAAAAGAAAGAAAAGTTGACCTTAAATTATAAATTTGTTTAATCGTTCTTTATTTTTCACATTTGTCTTTATCGCGATTTTCATTTGGTCGATCTTGATTACGATCGTAGAGTCGTAAATAAGGGATGCACGGGCGTATGGCGTTAAAGGTTAAGGATGAATGAAAATCGCGAGAAGAGGCACACGGGGGAGTAGGCGAATAGGTGTCGGTGGCGGTTTGCGGCGAAGCTGCGATGAACGACAAGGATGGGGTGGGAAGATAGGATGAAACATAGGAACGAACGACCGAATATACAAACAAACAAACGAAGCAGCAGCAACAGCAGCATTATTAGAGAGGGGTATAAGATCTAGGTAGGAGTAAGACGAGAAAGAAATGGAAAATGGGAGGGATAGCGGTAGCAGGAAAGAAGGAAGGCGATGCAGCACGGTGATTCGCGATAGCAGGAAGGAGAAAGATGGATTGTAAGAAAGAGAGGAAAACGGGTTGCTGGCAGGCAGCAACGTTGCCGGAGAGCAATCGGGTCGGATGACGATGGTGGTAGAGGTGATAGAGACGGTGATGTGGTGGGAGGGTGCAACGTGGAAGAAGGCAAAAGCGAAGAGTAGAAAGAAGAGAATAAGTAATCGGTGGAACTGGGTGGAACCAAACAGCGAAAGAACGGACGGAGGAGTTGGAAAGAACCGAGTGGGGGTAATAATAAATCGTTCACCTGAACCGCCGCATGCTTGCCGTTCACGATGCAGTCGTGCGGTAAGCGAGCAGAGTTCGTTTAGTTGTTCGCTGCCGCCGCGCAGTCTTTCGAGCAACCTCGCAGGGATCGTTTCGTTTCACTTCGTTCATCTTTATCGCACGGTCCTCTCACGCCGCGTACGTCAACCGTTCTGCAAACGCCTGTTTTTCTCTCGCGCAGTTGTTCGAACAGCTTGAAAACGACGTGATCGAATCGGGAAAACGCCATCTCTTTTTTGCAAACGAGTTTTCGATTCGAGTGTCGTTGCTACTTCATTCGGGTGTTTCTTTCAGTTTTTAAAGCAGGTTCGTTTAATCCGCGTGTAGAGACGAGTTAACGCCGATTTGCTGAGCCCTCCAAAAGAGATAGAGTTCCGCGCGCGCGCGCGCGCGATCGAGCGAGCAAGCGTTTGCGCACGCATGCAACGATCTCATCTTTTATTTGATTTATTTTAAACGCGTTTGAAGAATTGACGCGTACTCGTCGAATCGAAGAATCGTAGTTTACGCGCGTTTCAAACCACGCGGCTGAGAACAGTTGGAAAAGTTATTCTTCGGAGAAAGGTGATCGTTTATTCGGACTAGCTGGCGCGTTTCGTAGCCGCCTTTAGATTCGTTCTTACGGGAAAAGGAACGCCCTCGAGGACGACTATTCGGTCGTCGAAAACGATCGTCGAAGACTAAGTGAAAATCGGTGTCGGTGACGGTGACGGTGACGAGAACGAGAACGAGAACGAGAACGAGAACGAGAACGAGAACGAGAACGAGAACGAGCACAGGAACGAAAACAAGGAACGATGAGAAATACTAAACCAAAGAAGGAAAATTAGAAGAAGAAAGACAGTGAAAAGACAAAACGGTGTAAAGGGCAAAACGAAGCAAAAGGGGATATTTGTTGGTTCAGAATTCTCGACGTATGCACATCTTTGGAAAGTTGAAGCACGAGAAATTAAAGGAACTCCGCTGGAAAAGCACGGTCAGAGATAGTGGGAACAGGAGGGAAAGCAAAGAAAGAGAGAAAGGAAGAAGGATAGAGAAGGAAAGAAAGAGGGAGTAGTAAGCGCGCGAGGTCGTTTAAACGGAAAAAAGAGACGGACAGTTACGAAGAGGGAGAGAAAGATAGCCAAGAGTTCGTCGACGCGCGTACACGCGGTGACCGATCAAGATGAGGGTACACCGTGGGATTTGCGCGAAACTGCACGGAGGGTTTCTCAGGCGATGGTGTAAGTAAACGGTCACGGCGACGAAACAGTGTGGCTTTGGTACCTAATCGGGACGACTGCGTTACCGTTTGAGGGTAGCGAGTTCGTTAACGAGATCGTTAACGCAGTTACCGGCGCCACAGCCGTCACGTTCGATGCGTTCTTAATTCGATTCAACGAACGTGTCATCTTGTATGCTTGCTCGATGAATCATCTCGTCGAGTTGCCGTCGAGTTGTTTGTCGAGTTGCATGCCGCGACACCACACCACCGATTCGTTCTTAACGAGTTCGTGAAGCTCGCGTTGTTTGCCTCGGTTTTCGATCGAAATGCCGTCGTATCGTCTCGAGCAAAGACTTATTAGCTGTACGCTGTACCTCGAAGACACGAGCACCCGTAAGCCGTCAGGGTCTTTTTCTTACTTTCACTTTGGGTCTGCGAGTGTCGCGAGCGGCAAGCGCTGAGCGTAAACGCGAACGTGTACACTTAATGCGGGTACAGGAACATGAAGGTAAATGTAAATGTAAACGTAAACGTAAACGTAAACGTAAACGTAGCTATTTTTTCTCTTGTACGCACAGATGTCGGATGTGTCGTCGTTGAAAATTGCGTGTGTTTCCTTTAAATTGGAATGCGCGGGAAAATAATGAGATCTTTGGAGAAAGATACGCGTTGCGGGATGTAAATGCGACGTACATTTACAGTATAGGTACGAGAGTAGCGTATAAGCTGGAATTCGTGAATCGTAGCGGATCGGAGCGGATCGGAGCGGATCGGAGCGGATCGGAGCGGAGCGGAGCGGATCGAAAGGATAGAAGTAGAATAACGATTGATTCGAATCGGAATAAAAAAAGGAGTTGTAGTCGCATGTTACCGCGACGGTGTTCCTAGGAGGTGAGTTAATATAATACGCTGGCGTAATGGTATAGCCTCCGGGTATTATTCGCGCGTCAGAAAGTGAACTTTGATACCATTACGAGAAACGATCGAGCGGGAAGATACCTGCGATTCCGGGATTATTATCGAGTTTTTTTTTCTAGCGTTGGTCGGCTCGTTACGCAACTTTTCGATGCTGTCTCGTGGCGAGCAGGTAGGAACTCTCGGTGAGTCTGTAACGTAACGAGCTGTTTTCCAATGTTTTACGTGGACGATCACGAACACAACTGTTTCTTTCTATAGGAGAATTGAATTTCGCAGGATAAATAACTGAGATTTTTCCTCGGGATCGGAAAGCGGATTCGAATGGTAAAAATGTCGAAATCCGATCGGTCAGAATTGGTTCGTTTGCATCGACGTTCGGTGGTAGATACTGTTTCGTTTGCTTGGCGCGAAATATTCCGAGTAAGAGCAGGAAGCGTAGCCTTATATAATAGCGAGTAATTGCCGACAAGTACGCGTAGGTAGGTACTACATACATGTAGGTTCGGCCTTTCGAGATCGAAGCTCGAAGCGCGGTGCGTGTTAACCAGGGCAGCGACGACGATGGCGACGGCGACGACGAAGACGAGGACGAGGACGAGGACGAGGACGAGGACGAATGTTAACAGGATCAAAGTTTATCGACACAATATTCGGTATACGTGTACGAGCAGTTTATTTATTCTGTTTTTGTTTCATGAACGAATGATCCGATGCTAAGCGCAAACCAGAGACAGAATGCGTCGAGGAAAAGTTTGCGGCGACGAATGGGGGGATGGAAGAAAACGAGACGGAACGGAAACGAATACATACATGCATACGTATACATATACACGTGTGTATACGTGGCAAGTGGCAAAGTATGTATAGTATGTAGTGGGCAGCGGCCGGCGCCGCTACCACCGCCGCGACAAATTTTCGTCCAGACACGGGGATTCGTATCGAGGAGGTCGCGCGTCGCGCGTCGTGCCAGGTTCACAAAGTCGATCGAGTAAACGTTGCATTCCGTCGGAGTTAATACAGGCGATGGTGATCAAGCGGTGATTAGCCGCTAGCTAATTGCGGACTGAAAGCGACGAACGATGGACGGAGCACGGAGGAGGGTCGAAGGTGAAGGGAGTGAGCTGTTCGAGAGGATCGTAATAGTTTCAGATATTCTTTATTATTTTTCATGGAATAAACAATCGAAGTTGCTCACGGACTGGTCGACACTGCACGCCGACTAGGTATTCGACGCGTTCGCGTTGAGGGGAGGCTAGTCCGAGCTAGGTGGCTTCTATGATCGGGTAGATCCATGGCAGCCGAGTTGTGCAACTTCCGTGGTTCGTAGAGATTCATTTGGCTATGGTCAAACTGGTCGGGCCTGGCTGGGCTTGGCGGCGGGTATGAGCGTCGGCTGGTGGTTCGCGAGATTGCGCTTTCACCTATTCGTAATTTCTTCCGTACACGAATAAACGATAATCGGGGAGTCGAGATGTCTGGAGTTTGGGGTACCACCGTCGAACGCGACGGTTGAGTAAAAGTAAAACCAGTGCTCTGGTAACGGTGACGACAGTCGAGCCGATCGAACATTGGATCGTTGCCGTCGTCGTCGTCGTCGTCGTCGTCGTCGTCGTCGTCGTTGAGAATGCCGATCAAAATGCTTGGAACACGTTCGTGGACACAAATCTTTGCCTCGGCTGTCGAGCGTTCTGTATCAGCAGGCTTGGATTAGGTCTGGGTTAGAAATGTTTCCGCGTTCCCCCGTCTATTCTAGGTAGGTACTAGGGTGTCTAGAATTTTAGACTAGTCTCGAGACCTGTCTGCGAATTTTCTTTCCTGTCGTCGAAACGGGGCACGATACAATCGGAGACGGTTGCGCGATACAGCCGCTCGATCGGTGAGACCGACGGAACGAAGCGAACAGCGGGTCGTTCGGATAACTGTGAGAACGGGAACGCCGGAGTGAGTCGAAAGTACGCCGGATTTCTGCGTGAAACTCGTCGTTCCTGCCGCCGTCGCTACCATGTTTCTTTCGACTTCTCGCGATTCCACAAGCTGCGCACGGTGCTACTCGTTCGTTGTCTCTATGTCGATCAGCAAGATAGGTCGTTGAGGGAGCATCGATACTTTCCATCTCGCGCGAACAATCACGGGCAAAGCGGAACTTTTCCTATTCAAACTCTCTGTCCATTGAATCGATTTTTACTCAAGGACAAGCATGACGCGCGAACGTTCGGATCTCTGTCCATGGTTGGTTCCCTTTTTCACGCGTTCTCGTTACGCGTCTATCGCTTACATATTTCGTTTCGTTTCGTTTCGTTTCGTTTCGTTTCGTCGAATGTCTACCGATCGACGATACGTTCTTCCGCGTAGTACCACTAGGATGTTCGTTACTATTACTATGATTATCGTGTTATTTGAAACGAACGATCGGATACGATAGGAAAGCGTTCGTAGTATAGTAATCGACCTGCGTGGAATTGGTCGATGTGTATGTAGGAAATCGAAGGAGTGTTTCGATTCGTGTTTCGTGTGCAAGAATCGAACGCAATAAGGAATGCAAAACCGTTTTCCCACGACACTCGTCAGAATCTGTTGAATCGCGAGAGAGTTCGGTTCTTCTCGGTTCGATCGTTGGCGACGCAAACCAGTTGTAGGTTACACAAGGCAGGGTGGACATCGTCGTTGAAACGTATACTCGTTTTCGGGCAAGAACTTCATTCGCTGGAGGGGCTGGGCGGACATAGAGGTGGGAGGAGAATGGAGAAGTACAGAGAAGAGGCCAGCTACGGAAATTCGCGAAGCGACTTTCGGTCGCGATGTTGATTGCCACGAGAAATCGTTATTGGTTCGTCAGCTCCGAATTTCCACATCGACCGACCACCCGATAACGCATTGTGCCCCGTTCGAGTTTGCACGTGCGACGCTTGCGCTCGCATTCCTCGAGAGACATATTTCAGAGATACATACATGTACGTATATCGGTGTTGTATCGATTTCGAAACCGGGTCGTTGTTTCGACGAGTTACGCTCGGAACAATCGCCGCCGTTACCACCGTTGCCGGACGTATCGAGGACCGAGCAACCGATGGTCGGATCGAGAATCGGAATGCGAGATAATTTGTACGGCCACTCTTTGGTCGCGAATTTCATGGCGAAAAACAAAGTCGTCCAGTCTGTTTGTACACGCGTCGCGTTCTCTGGAAAGTACTGGTCTCGAGGTCGCGACACCGGCTCGAAGGATTTTGTAAGGTCGAGCGCGTGACGTCCGCGAGTGGATAAATCGTGCCTCGCATTCTCGATGCGAACACGATCGCCGCGAGCGTCGAAGCGACGTTTCGTCCGAGTTCGCGCGCCACCGAGACCTTCTACTCGCTGTTTCCTGCTGGAAAAATTCGCTCGATCGAACTATCGTGCATCCATTGGGTTATCGACGCATCGATAGACGAGCTTCTCGACAACAACACCGCTATCACATAGCGTCGTAGTGGTCGTAGTCTAATTAAACGGCTAAACGACTAAACGACTAAACGACTAAACGACTAAACGACTAAACGCGGCGCCTCGTCCTAAGCGGCGACTCGGTGCCTCGAGTGCTCGAGAGACTCGAAAAAGTAGGACCGCTTGTTTCGAAGGTCGACTCGCGTACGGTGACGTGCTGACACGTGTACGTGCCTTCTCGACTGCGTGACTGACAAATTAATCGACTGAATCGCGCGCGGCGAAAGCTTCGAGGTATCGACGCATCGCGATTGTTTTTCGAGACCTCGAAACTCACGAATCAATGCGTTGAAATCGTTTTCATCGTGGGGAGGAAATTTTTCGAGAACGTATTAACGTTTCCGGCGATCAATGGGTGGTGGTAAGGAATAATTTAGTCGAGGCACGTATCGAGACACGCCGGTTTCGACTCGATTCTCGTCTACCCCGTAGTGAAATCGTCGCAAAGACGACGCTTAAGTTAACCGCTCCTCCCGAGTTTCACTTGCGTCGGTTAGCTAAAATCTTTGGCCGATGCGATTGCAGTGTTCACAGGAACTTATTGTTCCATTCGAAGGGGAATCGATAGCAAAAGCTGTGGAAGCTCGAACAGAAACCAACGGTATTAAGATTGAGAAAGGAAACCGACAAATTTCTACATGTACTATCATATACATATATGTATACTATGTAGGATCGTGTTCCGGTGGTGGACAAACGCATGCTCGATTTCTTTCCTTAATTCTTCGTGCTTTGACTATTTTATTTTGTCCGAAACTAAAATGTTCCTCGAATATTGAGAACGCAAACGAACGAAAGTGACCACAGACACACGCGCGCAAACGGTACACGATAAATCGGTCCTTTTGGTTTGGTTTCAGGGGCGGCGGTAGCTGTTGGAGCGCTACTGATAATCGTAGCAGCAATTTTGGCGGCAGTATTTCCGAAACTAGTCGACGTTCTGCTCAACAGAGAAATAGCTCTCCAAGAGGGCGGTCGTACGTTCGATTGGTGGCGGGAACCTCCTGTATCGCCTCAATTGAGCGTCTACATTTACAACGTGACGAATGCCGATGAATTTTTGAACGACGGCGAGAAACCAGCGCTGAAAGAGCTCGGTCCCTATGTGTACGTACAGCACTGGGAAAAGGTCGAGGTGAAATTCAACGAGAACGATACGGTGTCGTACAAAGTGAAGAAACGGTTCGTGTTTTCGCCGGTGAGTGGATTTTTATCTGTTTTTCTCTCGTTCGTGGTGCTTGCTAACGAACAGAGTGAAACGTGTGTCAGGAATGC